CTACCCAATTAATATTTTGCTACAATGCCACGTATGCTTTAAAAAAAAAAGAAAAAACGGAACGGCTTGAGACTGAAACTGGACTGGAGAGAACGAAATAAAGTAAGGGAGAAAGATAACGCAAGTCACCGACTGTGCACTTTTTTTTTTTAATCAACGTATTTGCGTTTTTCTAGAAGTCACGAAATATGGGTGTCATATTTTTTGTCAATTTCGAGTATTGAGTGTGTTGACGACCGACTACTTTATCTTTAATGGCTGTGTCTCAAATTCAGACACAGCCACTGAAGATAAAGTAGTCGGTCGTCGAAGGCACACACTCAATACTAGAAATGGTTTACTCTAAACCATAGAAAACGGCACGTGACCACGGAGAAGAGGATGAGCGAGACTCAAATCGGCCAGTCCTTGATCGGCGGTTTTCGGATGGAAAGAAAATTAATTTAGAGCTGCGAATCGTGTTTTGTGTACTTGGGCTCTCACATGTCATGTACAAATAGAAACATTTGCGAGCATAAATACCCTGTCAATGTCACCTCCCCCCGCTCCCCTCCCTCCCCTCCCCCCTTAAAGTTGACTTCTCTAGACTTTTGTGTATCTCCCCCCCTAGCGTGACTTCTCTGCAGCATTTCCAATAGCGCGAATGAGTGAGGTGGCAGTTTTGGTCATTGGTGCTACTTACACATTCACGCTCATTGGGTTTGGCTCGGGATTTCCATTGGAAGAGGCCTCCCATTTCCAACAGGGAAGGCTAGCTATCGTAATTCGGTCTATTGGTTAAACAACAAAGAGAGAAGTCGACCAACCCGGAGATGTTTTCCCATCGTAAGCCGACCGAGACCCCTGCTGCCGCATCCCCCATCGTGTTTTTGCCCGCCGCATGTCGTACGTCGATGTCCTTCCACGGCGAAGTTTACAAAGACGTCGGACGACTCTATACAGCGGAACGAACGTGTGGCACGACACAACCGATGGACATCAGAGCAGAGCACCCAGAACGCCTGCTTCTCACTAAATGGAACGGTTCGGCCCTGGTTGTAAAACCACGAAGCACCAGTCAGGGAAACGTGCAAAGAGCAGCTACGGCACATGTTTGCGAGTCAACAGCGTTGGGAACGCGCCGAAGGGCTGCTCCAGGCAAGAATTCAAGGACCAAATGAGAGCGTCGTCAGCTTCGTCGAAGACGTCTTCCGACCATTCAACCGTGCGGATCTTCAAACGCGGGAAGCGAAGCTCAAGATCTATTGCAAGGAGTAAAGCATCTTCGGGGACCTCGTGCGAAACCCGCCCGTAACCGTCGAGCGAGCCCTTTAAGCGCGAGCCACCCAGCCTCCAGCAATCGCGGCGTACGCTACCGATGGCGTTGATGGAAGCCTCCAGTTGGTCGACCCGCTGGGCTTCCTCTTGCACTGCTTCGGCGATGGGGAGCCAAGTCGGACGATCGGCAGCAATTTCCTAAAATCCTCCCTCATGACGTCGCGGGTCATTTCTCGAATGCCCGGAAAGAGGCGGTGCCGGCGTCGAGGAGCCAACGCGGGGACAGCGACATTGGGCGGTCAATGCTGGTGGCTCGCGCTTGGAGGCGCTCGCTCACACGCTGTACAAGCGTATGACGCAAAAGCAAAAGCCGGACCAGTGCATGCCTTTTGTATCCAACTTTTATTGTTTTTCCAGCGTCGCTCCAGAAGTTCAACGAGAGCCATGCCCACGGTTCGGCACGCCATTGGCCGCTGCTGAGAGAGCAGATCGGCGTCAGCGCCCAAACAAGAGTGTTCACGTCGACCCAAGTCCGGTCCGGCGATATCCCCTTCAACCGCGGCGCCAATTTCAAAAGTCGCGCACAGTCGCCGAAAAACGAAAACCTCGGAGCGCACGGCGCTGCTACCACCGTCGCCGCCGGGGGCGGGGGGAGCTATTGTCGGGAGAGTTCACGGGAGAACGGACGTAAGTAGAACCGCTAAGATATGCAGAAGCAACATTTGCTACCCACTCTAAGGCACACACTATAGAAGCACTTTCCGGGGTGCGGGAAATATCGGGAAGGTGGAGGAGAGCGCGACACGAAGACGAAAACAACTGATTGAAGAGTGCCAAACCCGCCAGGGGCTCCCTCGGTAGGCCTTAATCACCGACGCACCTTGCGCGTAGTCTCTCCACACGCACACTATTATTGGAGCATGGCCACACCGTTCCCACGACTCGCGACGCTTCTTTGGCTTCCATAGTACAAACACGCTTTCCTCATTGACTTCCGGCAACATTCGTTACAAAAAAAAAAAAAAAAATCAAATGAACTGCGTGTTTCCAACGCTACCCCAGAAAAAAAACAAAAACTCATGGTATTTGAGTCATTGCAATAAACCGTCGCAATAAACACCATTCGCGTCTCTGTGTTCAAACACTGTGTCTCATTCATCGATTCTCAGGCTCCGCATAAGCCCATGAACACATCCAAAAGCAGAGAAAGGTCGTAGTTATAGTATTGGCACGGTAGTTTCCTTCGACACAAGCGAGTTGAATGCTTCCTTTCAATAATAAGACATTTCTTCGCTCTGACAATAAATTTTGCAGCACTGTAATTCTTCGACTGACAAGGAACACTTTGAGACTACAGCTTTTCAAGGTTGTCCACGGAACATGGCGATTCTCTTGTTCCTATGAGCCACTCTGGGCACTGCCTGTGTGGGTACGCACTTTGGTAAAAACATATTTGCATCGATCCTCATTGGAGTATCGTTTCAAATGGAGATGGTACAACATACAGATCTCGGGGACAGCAAGCACAACTGTAAATGTGCTATTTGAAAAGCAAGCAAGCTTTAAGAAGTGAAAAAAGAAAATAAATCAGAGTATTAGAACAGCACATTCGACCATGGCTATACCTCTATGCTGAAAACTAAATGAGGATATGTGTTGGTAGTACTACGCACAAGACTTCACATACAGTGCCAAAGTGTCCTAGCAACTTTTCCAAAACACCTTTTCAGTGACAACACTCGAGAGAGCAGAATCAAATGTCTACTACTGGTGAGTGTACCATTCTCTTCTTGGCAGAAAGCTAACACATAGCTAGCAAGTTTCTTCTAGCTTAAGAACAGCACCACATGTGCACTCCCAAAACTAAAAAGCTTGTGACATTCAACTGAGGCTTCCAATGAGTAATTACAGACGATTCTGATGGAACAGTCATGAGGTTAAATCTCACCGAGACAGGTTAGAAAAAAAGAAGGCTTAAACGTAAATAATCTATTTTTATAAGCAGTTTCCATGCAATTTTTCCTCGTGATTCAGACTCCATCAGAGAAAGATAGCACTCAGATACTCGCAAGCCAAATATATATTGCTCCATCACAATGGGTAGGTAAAATCTTTAACTTTAATATTGATATCTGGAGAGAATAGAACACAAGTAATACTTGCATAAGAACTGTTGTATGTATCCAATACTTTTCTTGACTAGCACTTAAAAATCATTCAGCAGTATTTACCACAGCAGGACAGTGACAGTGGTACTTCAACAATGTCCACAGCCTGTTTCACTTATGATAATACAACAATTACAAACACAATCACAATTAAGTGAAGTTAAACCAAATCAATAAAAGCTTGGATAGAAGCCTCATTTCATGTGCGACACTGCTCTGTTATTGCATCCTGCTGTAGTAAAACAAGACTGCAACTTACATATGGCACAGTAAATGCTAAAGATGAGTTGCAATTTGTTGAAAACGAGCAAACGGAAAACATGCGAGATATCAAAAGTGACCCATGCCATACAAAGCACACTGGTACAGATGTTATCATTGTTAGTTACCACATTTGTAGACTGCAGCAATAGGTCACAGTCAAAGACATATCGACCTGTGGGAATCGAGATTGTGCACCAAAATGTCCAGCAAAGGTTGTGCATTTTATGAATATCAAGTATACCAAGCGAACAAGTAAGATTACGAATTTGGAGAGAAAAGCTGCATGTCTCGATGCTCCGTCTGTGGAGCAGCCAGAATATAGTGCTTACTCACAAGTTGGTCCCAACATTCAGTTTTAAATGCAACTCCAGAGCTGTTTCGAGATGAGATTGCCTGCTATCTCTGATTCAAGGCAAAGGAGAGAAAAAAAAAAAAAGTTCAAAATTTAAAATTGTTGAAAAACACAGGTTGTTAGACAGAAAGAATCAATTAGCTCCTCTTATATCATTCCGCCCGACACCGGAGAAGTCAAGCCCTAGCAATGCCCCATTTTGCATTTTCAGCCACCACGGCACCAAAGAAAAAGCATGTGTGAGCTCACCTCAATTATAGGTCTGAGAATTGTCGCTGAAAAAACCCGGCAAGTTATTATTATTTTTTTTTGGCATGGTTCTTAAATATAGCATTCACTATAAACAGCTCTATGTATAAAATGCTATTTACAGATATCGACATTAGTAGAAGCTCAAAAACATCTCTGAAAATGAATCAAAAGAAGGTCTGTATCGTGTGCGCATGCATAAAAAAAGTGGAAAAAAAACAACAACAAAAAAAAAACATGAAAAAATTTCTATTTAAATAAGACAAAGTAAATGAGAAAGGTCTCAATTCCTCCGAAGGTCTCAAGTGGGGCAACATGAAAACCCTATTATGAACAATTTTGTTCCACACCTTCGCTTGAAGGCTTCAAGCTAGTCAAACAAAGCACACTCGCTGCATTCTTCTCAGTTCAGTTTCGATGGCTGGAGGTTCGCACGAAATAGCATCCAAAATCCCCCTCTCCACTTGGGCACCCTCCCTCCAAAAGAACCACTCTAGCACGTTCCTTCCCTTTTGTTCAATTTAACATTTTTCAGCCATCCGTAGGCTTTGAGTTTGTCGTCGCCACACGATTCTCATCACCACAGATACATCTAGCATAATGGGTGCACTCGCAACGGCAGACGGTCAACCTCGACGCATCGCCACGAGCTGACTCGGAAACCTAAAAAATTACCGTCTCCGTCGTCCGTTCACACCCTCGATTAAATCTCAACCTAGAAAGATAAATATTGCGGGAATTTCAGCGCTTTCCCGTGGTCTAGCTTCTGCAGTTCCAAGTCTCAACATTTCAAGAACTGCGCTTGACAGACGCGTCGTGCACAACGAGCTTCGCAAGTCAGATTCTGATTTCCCGACCTCGGCTCGAGACCGAAGGAACGCCTCGAAGCTCTCTTTCGATACAAACCTCCGCTAGGGGTTGCCGGCCTCGAAGGACGACGTTAGGTAATGCCACGAGAAGGGGCTTCTAGCTCTGTCGCAGTGGGGAAACGACGATGACGACGACGACGACGAGCTATGCAATAAAGTCGTTTCCTTTCTGGACCGCCGTTCGGTAGCTGAGGCGGTCTTGTGTGGGCCTCTTGGTTCGGGTGGGGGAACTGCGAGGGGAGCTCGAAGTGGGTCCTGGCATCCCCGTTAGCACCGTGCCCTTGTGGACACCCGCATGGTGCTTAGTCCGTGGGGGAGAGGAGGAGAGGGAGGAGGGTGGGCCCAGAACGCAAGCACCGCCGCCGTTACCGCTGCTGTGGTTCTGGTCAGGTTCGTCCACCTCGCCGATGCTCGTTTCGACGAGGGCTGGTACCAGCTCGGGGTACTGGGTTATCTTGGAGCGTAGCAGGTAGGCGTAAGTGCGGTATCTCCTCAACTGCAGAAGAGAAAGTAAGGTGTACGTCGTCTAAGTCTGCTGCACACATAAAGCTTACGAGTGTGGGTTGCATGAGCTTGGAAGATGGGAGTGCTCCGACAAGAACGGTGTGACGTTCAAACAATCCATGGTGATGTAAATATTATAGTCCCACAAAACTGAAGGGATCAGGGCTAGACAGCTATGAAAGACCTTTCAATATCATTGCATATCATAAAAAAAGACGTACGGCGTGGCCACCGATTCGTTGATAAACAATAAGCTGCATCTAGAACTAAAGCAAGTGTTCAGTCACGGAAGAAGAGTTGCTTGCAGCAAGGATGGGCAAAGCAATATTAAAAAGCAGATAAAAGCTAACTACTAACTGCCTTCTGGTGCCCCACACGAGGGAAGGTGTTTTAAACCAATGGAGACGGTTTGATGAGCATATAACAACAAGTTAATGAAATAGTCTCCGATTCAGTCATGATTTGCGAAATATCAAGTCTGTGAAAAAGAATGAACCTTGTTTGTTAAGCAAAATATAAATTGAACAAAGAAAAAGCTGAATTCGTGCTCCAGTTATCATAGTATACCCCGAATGCTTCTCGAGAACATTCAGACCTACAGGTGAGGGGGGGGGGGGGGGGGGGCAGCTTTCCCCTTTCTCAATAGCCACAGACAAGTTGCAAGCCAAATGACCCTCCCTCAAGTCCCCTTGAAAAGCACTTTTATGTTCCTTGGAGACTGTCTCAAGCCCCCAGTTCGCACAAAACGGATATATCACCCGCTCTAGTTGACACGCACAAAAGACAAAGGCAACAGGTTATAGCCCCGCTGAAAGGCATCTTGCAGATTAGCCTGCAACAAAACAGAAAAATCACCGCCAAGCTTCATCGAAGCCCTACCTCACACTGGAGGAAATTTTCTTTTTCGACGAACTCCGCCACTGCACGAGACTTGGCTCCTTTCTCGGGAGCGTTTGCCACATGCTCCTCCAGTTCCTTCTCCAGCCACACAATACGATTCTCGTGATCTGTCAGCTGTTCTCTCTGTGAGGAACAGAAACATCACTATTATGGGCCTTGGTCATAAAAAGGTAAACTTTCATTCTTGGAAATATTTCTACGCTGCCTCTTGCACTTCTAATCTATAGTGTCGGTTTGAAGAAACAAACAATCGGAAAGACTGACCAGGTTTAGCTTGGTGTGGCTGACAGGAAGCAAGGGCCGCTGGAACCTTTTCTGGCTGCCTACTGCACCGGCAAGGGGTGGCGCTGACAGGCTGGCAGTCACAAAGTTGAGTGTGTCTACCCAGCTCTGCAGTTCCTTGGCATCGCTGCAACAGCATGAAAAAACAGTTCCTCCCTTGAAATCCTTGTTATCCTGTTACACGTTGGGCACTCCTGACACTTCCGCTTAACTCTTCTGCTCCCACGCAAAGAGACTCGTGTGGAGAGTTCCTCAAGTTTTAGAAAGGGCGTTTAGTCACCAAGAATAGCTGTGAAGGTCATAAGGGTTATCCCCAGAAATTAGTTAAAAGTATCGTAAAAAGGAATAAAGAAAATTGGTGATCAATGGCATTTTTGGTAGGTCGTAAACCATGTGACACACAAAACTTTTTTGACTACCAATCTCATCACCCAGCTCAACACAAAAGCTCCGTTGCAAGATCGTTACTTCATCGTTCAGAAACAGTCCCATCTAACTCATCGCTTAGCAATCAAGAACTTAGCCACGTGCGGGAGGCTTTAAAGGAACGTAACTACCCCGACCGATTTATAAACCGCATTAACAAACAAATGTCCCATCAGCGTGCGGATCAAGCCGAACAAACACGTGACATTGTGTGCATCCCATACATTAAAGGGGAACTCCGCCGATTTTTCGAGCTGCCTAATCCAAAGGCATAATCTGAATGCGGATGGCTTCCTGATTCCAAAATGCTATCTCGTTCTCCCAGATTCACTCTCGTTAATTAAAAAGGTGATATTTTGTCTGCTACCGAAACCGAAACATCGTTCTCCCTAGTTTTTCCCCAGTTTTCCCCTCCACTCAAGCGTGATGTCACAGGTGGGCAGCGAGGTGCGCGGCCGACAATCAGGTATGCTCACGCCCGCCTTTTTCGCGTCTAACAGCGAGAAAACTTGGGCGTTCTTTCTATTTGAAGTTGACAATAATCTATGTTTGCACAAGGTATGGTCTTGGCCTACGTGCTAAACTATAAGAAAGTGGAAAAAAAGAAAACGGGAGCAATTGGAATTTTGTAAAACCCGTTATTGCAATTCGGTACGCTCAAGCCACGGCTCGCTAGTTTCATGATATCGCTAGTAAATCCGTTATCTTTTTATTAGAAGCTCCCTGGCGAAGAAAGGTCAAAGAGTCAAGCAATATATTTTTTGACAAATTGCCAAATCACCACGGAAAATGCTTGGAATGTGGGTGCAGATGCCCCAAACGCTCGTATAACCTGAAGGAACGTACCATTTGTTCGAGATTTTCTTTAGAAAAGTTACTGTTGCAGGTGCCAGCACTTGTCCTCTTGTGGCATGAATATGCTCCCTAGTGCTTAAGCAATTTAGCTACAGATCTATAGACCATTTCTGAAAAGCACTTCTGGTCGATGCCATTTTCAGCGTTCGTGCGTGTGGCACATACATTGCTTGCCTTCCAAAGCGACGAACATGTGCAAGCTGGGCTGGAACCCTACACATGTAGACTGTGATTCCCGTAAACAATGAAATGTATGGAATGGAATGAACTTTATTTGTGTAGATCAGATGGCAGGTTACTGGCCATGAAGATCGTGTTAAAATGAGAATTAAAAGAACTCTGCAACCACCAAGCCAAACATCAAGGTGCAATGGAATGCGTATAAAATACAAAAATACACTGTTCATCTTCTAAGAAAAACATATTTGCTTGAATATACAATAGTGTGTTAGGTACAGAAAGACATCATAAAACTTTTAATTCAGAATATGTTAAAAAAAGTTACTAAAAAAATGTGTACCCATGTTTTTTTTTACTTTTGGAGTAGAATACAATGCGTTTAAACACCCATCAATGAGAGCACATGGGAAGGAGGTAACTCTATGGAAGATTTTTTTTTTTTTAATTAAATTTTAGTTTAGCACAGTTTTCATCAGCCGTAAATTTGCATGCCTCTTCTCAACAACATTAATATCCTTCATGGTTTAAAAAAAAAAAATTTTTTTCAGCCCTATATAAAATTTTTTTGCAAAAGAATAAATTAAAGACGTTTTCATCACTTCTTCTGCAGAGAATATTGCACGCCAACCATTTGTCAAACCAGGCAAAGGCTCTATCGTATGTATATTAATGGAGCTCTACACCTGCTCCATAAACCTCTGTAATAGCAGACAGGAATAGCAATATGTCGAAAGTCATGTCTAAATTCAGACTTGAACTTTGTTTAGACGTTTCACTTCTCGTCTTCAACATATCGGCCGCGTGAGTGGAACTCCGAGAGTAGCCCGAGCTAGATTTAACGTTCGAAACAAAAATAGTGTTTATAAAAAATTTTAAAAAAATATCACTGAACCAGTTGTGAATAACAAATGTGACTGTGCAAAATGTTGACTATAGTGCTATAGTGTGTACTATTTTTGTCGATTTTATTGGCGCTCCTCTTTGGACGGATGTCGTAGTGGTCACAGCCGGCTTGAGTTTGCGCTTACCGTTCTTGAAGCTGTTCCAGCTGCTGAAGGATACTCAACTCGCAGCACACGGCTATAAAGTATTCCGAGCAAAAGTGAAAATGTTTCACGTTTTCACTTTTCTGGGCACACAGCACCTTGACATGGCTGACATCCACTGCTGACAGGGAACACTTTTTTTTTTTGTCCCACGAAAACAAGGGTAAAAAAGAAGCTTTTTCCCGGCACTGTTTCTACTATCTATCGTGGAGCACAGGTTGCTACCCATTGCAAAGGAACTTTCAACCTTAAGCTGCAAAAAAATAATCTCGATCGCTGGCGCCCAGAAAGCTACTTCGCGGCTGCCCGAGTCGCTCGTCCGCCTGCCCACCCATGACGTACGCGGGTACGGAAAAATAGAAACCCTTGCGGCCGACGTAGCTTGAAAATTCGATAACTTCACGGAAAAATTTAATTTTTATAAAATATTTTGGTTATCAGTTTAAATAAAGCTATTGATGCGGTCTGCAAATTTCCAGCCAGATCGAAGTCTACCAAAAAATTGGCATTGGGACGCGTGCTTAGGCTGTTGGGAGTACGAACTGTATACAAAGCCTACAGAACAATAGCCAACGTTATCTCCAAGCCAAAAGACCCGATCCCCTCAGAGACAGAAAGGGGCGGGATCTACCTGGTGCAGTGCAAGGAATGCGACGCTTCCTACATTGGAGAGACGGGACGAAAAAGACAAACAAGACTAAAAGAACACGCACGGGACGTCGCCAATTCCACGGACGCCACCCGCTTCACATTCAAACTCGTCGACCACGCATGAACGTCAGGTCCCCAATTTGACTTTGACAAGGCATCGACCTTGTCAAAGAGGGAGAAAAGGTGGGGACCGAGAGGATCGAGAATGCTGCTGGAATCTTAGTTCATCCAGGAAGACAAACGCAGAAGTGACTCATTGCTGGTTAACAAGAACCGTGGCCCCCTGCCGGATATGTACAGAAACTTCATGCCTAAATAATCAAACTTTTTGCGCAACTCTCATTTGCTCTGTGCGTGACTGAAAATTCCTCCCGTATGGTAGGCAAAACGTTTAATTAAATTGTTATTTTTGTTGTGTCAAGTTGTTTTTGTATTACAGTTATCAAGCGGAACAAAAAGAAATTTCCTTGAACTACAAGCATGCCTCATATTACTGAGGCCAAGAAAACCTGAGGATACGAGGGATGCAGGGAGGACACAAGCGGACTCTTTGGTGCAGGCATAAACAAAAATGGCGTTTCTGCTGCCTGGAGACCTACCCTGTTTGAAAGAGGTATTCTGCCTGGTCTGCTGTCTGTAGTCGGAACACATGCTGCTTCTTGGTGTAGTCTGTTGCCTTGGTGGCCAATGAATGGTGGATTCGAATAGAGTTATGCAGGCTTTCATACAGCTGATTCTTGCGAAATCCTTGTTCATCCTGAAATGAAGTTCATGAAGGCATGCACCTTCATCATGAAAGTTACAAGACAAGGTAAAACTGTTCTTCTAGACAAAATCATATATTTCTTGGAGTTGAGTGAAAAATAACAGAGAGGACATTATATACTTAACATAATATGCTTGGGAAGCAAACACCCCACAAACACTGAAAACTGTGTCTATCTAGACATGGGCACTTGTACGATCAAATCAGTAAATACCAAGATGGTGGCCAATAAAAAACTCTTCACTAACAAATCAAAATACTTTTCTTTTTTTTATTATTCGATACACTAAAAACAATGCCTGGACATTACCCTCAAAATTCGGAACTTGGGAGCTCAGTATTTGTGAAGTAAAACAACGATTTCCCAAAGCTGAAGCCAGTGCGGTGACGTCAGAGATTGTGTCGTCCCGCAACTCGAGTTTCTCTCACGCCTCCGAACCATCCCGACCCGAAGTGTCGTGTTTGCTCGCGTTCCACGATCAAACGCTATTCTCTGGGCCTGCCGCCTATCATTGTGAGCAGACGACGCTTCACTTTCGAGTTTGAAGTTCTTTTAGGGCCCTTTCAGCGATCTCAAATTCTTTGAAACAGTTTGAGGTCGAAGAGAATGCCAAACTTTTGTGAACAATGTGGCACTAATTTTGCATGAAAGGCTGCCCTGGCAGAGTCACAACCGAAACTACGGTACACAGACACCAAACCCAATTGTTTTCACTGTTTGTTGATTTCCTTTTCTAAGTCTGAGAGGTCGTTGGGCACCTAAGAAAGAGAACTTCGTCTGATTCCCCGACTCACCGATCATCTTCAGTGCTACATGTGCTGAGCGCCACCAGCACCGCCATGTTTTACAAGGGAGGAATAAAAGCTAGGAGGCGACATCACTCCGGACTTCGATTTTTGGTATATCAAAAAGAAGGGTTGTAGTGCGTTCACAATTGCGTTAAAATCATGTTTTACAAATGCCGTTATTAAATATTATAGAAATGTCGCTTACAAAGCTTTTAAATTTCATAATTTTTGACGTCCCAAATTAAAAGAAGCGAGGATGTAAAAAAAGGAAAAAAAAAACGCCAAAAAAAAAAAGCTGTGCGCACACATATTTTTTTTTGTTTTTGTGGTATTTTTGTGTTTATGACAACAACTTGCACCGTTATAGACAACAAAAAAATACAACCTTTGGGGTGTCAGTGCACCTTTAAGGTAAGGTGAACAGAATTGGAGAAAGCACATTTATTTTCACATGATATTCCCGTCATGACAGCCGACAGTCTTGTGGCCACCGCAACGGGGTGAATATTTTCGGTTGATACCGGCGCTTTAAAGGGGCGGTGTAACGATATTCAATTAGAATGTTTTTCACTTTACACGAGCTTACTGACACTAGTGGGACTCAAGGATACTCGCACGCAACACCACTGACCAAGAAACTCCTTTGTTGCGCTGTAATTTCGAGGACAAAACCGAATGTTTTCATTCAATCTCTCCTTCGCAGAACCTGATGACGTAGCTGGGCGGTAGCAGTACCGCCCAGTGACGATATTTGAATGCGGCTTATAGATTGGACCCGAGCACGGCGTGGACACTCGATTTGGGCTCGTGATAATCGATAGCTCGAGAAGCATTCGGGTAGTGTCCTGTGTCCAATCGCTGCAATGACGACAAAAGCCGAACCATAACAATGTCTGGAACTGAGCGCGTGTCCTGTGCCTTGCCAACACCAGCGCATGGCTATGATCAACATTGGCGGCATATAATCGGCTCCAGATCACGTGGCCGCTTGTTCTGGCTGCGAGTTGAGGGGGTGAACTCTGCTCGTTTTTCTTTATTTTTTTTCTGGGACTTCGATTGCGTGTGGTGAAAAACGAACGGCTATTTCACAGGTCATTAACGTCAGGGGTTCGTTCTAAGCGGTATTTGCGCAAAATACAAAAATCGTTGCATCGCCCCTTTAAAGGCTGTGGGTGCTTAACGTATAATTTGCCGAATTCCCAAGTTCGAGAAATGTTAATAGTGGCCGCTTGTTCGGAGTGGGCGCTTCCGCAGTATTTTCCGATAGGCATTAGTAAAAAAAAAAAAGTAATGCAAAGCAAGTAGGGAAGATAAAAACCTTTTTTGGACTGAACCTCAAGACATCCCAAAGTTTTGACAAATGCTTTCCTATACAATGTAAAGTGACCATATTCCTAGGGCCCCAAAGGGGGATGCATATCAGGGGGGGGGGGGGGGGGGAAGGGGGGGGTATTGTGTTGAGAGATTAGAATTTAGGTAACAACTCACAGCTTTGATATTATTTCGTATGCCTGTGCATATTTCTTTTCATTGCAGTTTGTATACTGCTTGGCATGCATATATAACATGTTTGGTTGGAATATTTATTTTTGTAAAAACCCTTTACAGACTGTAATACACTGAGATGCCCTACCGCCGAAAGATAAATGCTTCGGCGCTTGAGGGTATGTACAATAAATAAATAAATAAATAAATGTATTTGGCAGGATTTGCTATTTTTCACATAAACACCGAAAGATAGCCCACTTCTAGTAATTGCAGGGGCCTGGCCGACGGTGACCTCGGTAGAAATGGTGTTACTTAGCCACGGCGGGATATAAGCGAACATTGCTGACTAGGAAGGACAGTCGACTTTGGTTCATCACCCCTCCCTGGAATCGCAAGTTTCGCAGGTCACAGACTCTAAAAGTAGCAGTTTTTCAACTTCTTTTGATTGTACATTGAAAGTTCACCTACTCCATATTTTCACCCTATTTGCTTTCGCTTTTAGGTGGGCTATCTCTCAGGGTATTATGGTAGTTTTATTTACATGTGATACACAAAGTAATTTTCAGTATCAGTATCCCTTTAAAGCATATTTTGTTCATTGATCAGAGGAAGCACCCTCTCTACTGATGCATCCCTTTGTTTAACCAGATCTTTTATCTATTTGGGGTTCGGGGTAGCCAAAACAGGAAAAAAAAGACCGTCCCGCAAGCACGCTGGCGAGACATGCGGCCACTTTCATTCTAATACAAGGAAACATGATCTTATGATCAATTCAGTTTTAATAACACAGTGCACAGCAGATGCCATACATGCATGTGCATAGATGTGACAACCACATTAATGAAATAATCACTGCCAAAAGAAATTTCTTTTGGAGATTCCATTCTATGTAGCAATGCTTGAGTGGAATATGGCAACTAAAGTTAGCATTGATCTTTTCTGAAATTGCTAAGTCCTCTATAGTAATTGTAATGTCATTTCAACATGAAAGGAATAATTAAGGGAATCAATTAGATTCTGATTTGCACGAGTTACGAAGATGAAGATCAAATAGCCGTGGTGTGCCTAGACGTGCAAGGCATCCACAAAATACATTCTATCTTTCATTATCTTCAGTCATCTGTTCCTCACTGTTGGCAGCACATCATTCTAACATTTAGTGGAGGTGCGGTATTCATCACCCCTGTGCTTTGTGGTTGGTATTGCCTCAAACATTTGCTGCAGCAGTCCCTGCTCGATGACACTGAAACAACAATGAAATTCATGATGGGTACCAGGGGACATATTGTGGGATAGTCTTGGGTGCAACTGCTGTCTTTGCCATATTCCTAACCCAGCATTGCAGTTTGTTCAATTAGATTCCCAAACAATAAAAAATAAAAAAGGTCAGACAGGAGACTATATTTCTCAAGGCATACTTGTCCCGTGAAGCACACACCGTGTAGCAAAGCTTCCTGTTTGCTTTTGATGGCATTGATAGTGTAACACCAAACTAAGTAAAGACATTTCAATTAATAATAAGTCTCTCAGAAAAAACGTTGACTGCCACTCTGAAACTTCCAGAAGGTTCCTTTTCAAGCACAGTAAAAGTGTGAAATTTGGTAACGAAGGAAGAATGTCGGTTTTAGTTGCCACACCCTCCGTTTCCTCCAGAGTGCTCCCTACAAGAAGGGGACACCACTCACCTTGTGCAGATAGAGTACAAGATCCCGTAGCGTTGCGCAGAACATCTTCCAGCCACGCTTTCCCAGGGGAGCTGTTGCGTACAAATTGCTTCATGAGTTGCAAGTCCCGTAAAAATGATAGTCGTTACACTGAAGTGTCTCAAGCTCGAGCCGAGCAGGATCAAAGCCTTTTACGAGTCGGGACGTTAAAAAATATGTCGATACATCCCTCGTCGCCTTCAAGTTTGGGAATCCTGTAAACACACTTCCTTTTTAGGGAAATGACATTGTGTCATCTTGTTCCCCAACCTTAGTCTGTTTGCTTCCTCTCGAACACGCGTGAGCAAGCATCTCTGCGTGCAGGTCTTAAACATTTGCCGGTGCTTCGCCAAACCCCTCCAAGAAAAGGTTTGTCTCTGTCCTTGGCGAGGCCAGAGCACTTTGACGACGCGCGAAATAGCAAAGGGCTCTTACTTCTTTTGCCTCCCGGATCCAAGCAGCACTTGCGCATCACGTAACCTTTCTTGTACTCCGTAGCACAGTTCGGGTTGGGGACCTGGGTCCGGAAATTACCAACCGAGTCTTACGAAGGAACGAGTGCCACAAATGTGACGACACTATGGTCACCGACAAGGTGAGAACTGCAGGGCGCTGCCTTTTGCCATGCCTTGGCCGCGTGTGCACGCTCGAGGCCCACGAGACACACAAGCTTCATTGAAGGTAAGGAGCTCGTGCTGGAGGCTGGACAACTGGAGCTCCTCCCCGCCGTTCTCATTCTGTCGACACGCCAACCCAAGTGGGTAAGTCATTGTTGCCATTGCTAGCCAAAACCACATGCAAGTATTTAATATTATTGTAAAAAAATATATTACCAAAATTTGTTTTATGCAATTTCATACCTGCCAGCCCACCAACATAAAAATTTGGGAGACTGCCACAAAAAAAAAAAATGGTAAAAAAACTTTTCTTTTTTTTATGTTTGACACAAATGTTTTGTGAAGAGGCACTCTGCGCGGATTACACTGTCTTTGCAGTTGTTTTGGAAAAAACTGCGGATGGTGCCCTGCCCTTCTGTGGCACGACGATAGTTCTGATGTTTTTGTGAGGCGATGTGCATCTTGATGTCGGCCTTGCCGCCGTGCGAAACGCTCACATCACAGGTGCACGTGGTATAGAATCTATGCTTGTCACCCTCCCACGAACTGACAATCGTGGTCAGTCGTGTACAATCTCAGAAATACTAGCAAGTACCTCCTCTTGGCTTTTGAAAGTGCCATTGATCGTTTCAACTAAACCCGGGGAAACACAAAGAGTAGCTCGGCGTTCCGCGCTTCACTCGACGACCTGACAAAGCCAACTGAAGCCCAGCACCTTGCCTAGAGCTGCGCACCCATGATCATAAAAGCCGTGTTCCAAAATTAGCTCGAACTTATTCCAGAGCAGAGGTTTCGTACATTGGCGTTTGAAAATCTACTTTCGTTTTACGCTGCTGCTGCGAGTTGTCATGTGGTAACCCGCCGGAGTAACCTAAACCTACTCTCAAGTAACTCGTACTGACACGCGCAATGATTATAACAATAAAGCGTAAAAAAAAAAAAAGAAGAAGAAAAAACTTATGGCAATCATTTTTTGCGAGATTTGAGGTCGTGTTTGTACAATTGGGAGATGTGATCAAAATTCGGGAGAGTTGGCAGGTATGCAAGTTTGACATACTAAACTACAAAAAATGCCCAGTCACTCCCCCAGCTATACGCTCTAATTCAGGTATCTAAAATGACAAAAAGAACTCAATCCAAATGGTAGTACAACGCGGCCTTGGCGTAAGAACTGCTTTGGAGGGATTGAAAAAGTTAAAGCCCGCATAATAACTGTGCCGGGATTAACTGCGATGGTTGGGTCGCATCTTTCAGTCGAAGTTATGACGGCAATTAAGATTCGCATGCTTTGGCAGCCACAATTTTTAGGAGGATTTAACAAACTATATGATTACTAGCAATCGAGCAGAAGGGGTAATGATGATTAACAGTTTAATAGCGCAACAGCAACAAAGCCCATCCTGTCCCAAGCTGAACTTATTTGGAAGAGCTGAATATAGCATTGCTCAAACGTTTTCATTCTCTAATCCTAGTGACTACTGGCACTGTAAAAAAATGTTTAAGCTCAAAGATTTCCCACCTAGAGCCACTAAACAAGCTATGTTTAAAGTATCGGCATTCCATACCTCGATTATCTTGTGAGTGCCGCCATTCTAGCGCTTAGTGCAGAGCAAGCAACATTGGCAACAGCTACGATTAAAAAATGTCCCATCCTGAGCTCTAGAAATGGTGTCAGGAGTCCAACTTGATATTGTTTTTCTCTGTTGCAGACTGGTTTAACATTTCTAAAAGATGGAAAAACGTTTCCAGCGATTTAAGATGAAGCTCCACATAACTGGCAACAACAACACAACTGGCAACAATGACTTTGAGCACCGAGATGGCAGAAGTGCCGATACTCTAAAGCGAAGCTTCCATAGCAGTTCCAAAGGCAACCAGACAACAGACAGAGGAGAGAGGCAGTGTGCGCACCTCCAAGAATGGGTTGTGGCCAATGAATCCCGCAGGCCTGGCTTCAGACGCATTGGACTGATTATCTTGAGAGGAAGTACCGTCTTGTTCAGAGTCGTCCCTGGACAGTGAGCAGCAGAGCATGAAGCACGTCCTCTGGTTGACGGTTTCGTTTTACTTTCGCAATGTGGCGTGGCAGCACCTTTACAGTTTGTTCTCGACACTGTTGGCAGAAAACTGATCAAAAGCGGTTAAGCCGAACTTAGCGAGTCTATTTCAAATATTATATTTTTGCACGATTCTAATGCAGACTTTTTTCAACAACTAACATGTTTGAAATTACGCGCAAATTACAACTGGACTCTAAAAGCAGCGCTGAAGGAAAGCCTCGGAAAACTCGGGGTAAGGAGGACAGCCCCCTCAACATAGACGTAACATGTTTTGGAGCTGGCACTAGTGATGCAAGCAACTCCACAAAACAATGGGTACCACCCATCCACCACATGTTTTTCTGTTTGCCATTTTCCATTATCATTTCCACGGGTTTACCTTGTTAGCACAATCTCGCGCGACGCTGTAGCATTATCGGAGATAGGAAGTTCGCGCTGGAGGCAGGGCAATTGAAAGGCCTCCCTGCTGTTCAACATTTGTAAGATGAAAAAACAAAGTAATTATATTGCAAAACTTCTCTATATAAAAAGTAATCGTTCTGGTAGAAAAAAAAAATTAATCGAGCATCTTCACGTTTTGGTGACAAACCCTTGTCAAACTCCGGCAACTTTTGTGCATATGTGCATTCAATGAGGTGGTCAGCGATCATTATTTTATCCACACAGTGGGAATTGGCACCAAGTTAGTTTTCAGATATCAACAATTTAGATATACCAGTGCATTAGAATCGGAGAAACATAACTAGAGTAACTTATAAAATTACCTGGCTATGAGAACGACAGTGCAAAACATGTAAAGGTTTTGCACACTCTTTCAAAACTTCAAAGTTCACTAAGTCTCGAGTCACTTAAGCTGCCTTAAATAACTCATTATAAAAAGAAAAAAAATTAATTCAACAGCAATTTTCTACACTGCTTCCACTCCCTCAGTGACTTAGTGCAACAAGCCTTTTTGTCAAAGGCTGAGCAGTTGAGGTTCAAAAATTAAGAAATAGCTAAGGCAACAATGGGAAACAGTAATGCAGAAATGCTTATTCTCGAATAACAGATAAAGTAAATGTTCACTCTATTTTAACTACACCAAAAAATAATTAAATCAAAATTATGACCAATCGGTGTACAAATCTCATGTTTCCGATGTCATGCAGAGGCAGCCACACTGGCTCCAGAGCAGAATGTGCACCAACGCTTTGCTCTTCAGAAATTAGGTTCCAGCACATGCACAGGGGGTCACACAGTGTCTGTAGCCATGCTTGTCTATAGGTAATGAGTAGTGCATGCACCTGTCAAGTGATGGAGGTACTATCACTGCAATTTCACTTTGTGTAGATCGAGAAGATAAGGAAACCACTAGGGTCATCTTACACAGCCCACTCAAGAGGTGCCGTCTTGATGGACATGTACAAGGCCTTGAGCACGTCTTTGGGGAAGTTCTCGCCTTCGTTGAGCTCCGCCAAGTTCTCTACAAACTCCAGGCAGGTCATCTTATGGCCAATATTCTGCACATGACCAACCACAGCAGGACCACCACTGTCACTACATTAGAGGCAACAAACTGGGATAAATGGGCCAGGGTGCCCTTAACCCCAATACATTTCATAAAAGTGCTTTCACATGGCACGAAGCACCTGGTCTTCCTGAATGTCAAATGCAAACAACATACATTACGTGGCAACTTAATCGTGATTCTAGAAATATGTAGGCAAAGGCATGGCATCTGTGAAAAGTTAACCCCAGGAAGCAAGCTTTTTCCTCAAGATATTTCATACAGTGACGTCTTGAAACATTTGTGAAATATTATTACAGTATAGATCACTTACAACGTAACCGCTTATAGTGCAGGACCGGGTATAACGTGGCTTTTTTAAACCACCGGTTCGCCTCCCATAGAACTCCATGTAATTGCATACCGCAGTGATGTGATTGGCCTAAGCCATTTTGGAGCACCTTTTGGAGCAGCCAAAACAGTGTTTTGGAGCAGTAAATGTCGCTTTTGGAGCACCCAAGACAGTGTTTCGGAGCAAAAACTGACTTTTGGAGCATATATTCTTAGAAAATTAAATATTTGTTTTAAGTGCTGGACAAACGAAGGGCACTTTGTGTTGTGTCGTGATGTGACGTGTTGGGGCGGAACTCGCTGCTTGTGTTTTTGCTGCTGAGACATCCCACAAGTACACAGTGCTGTAAGCATTGCCAAGCAATTCCGTAAAAAAAAATTGCTATTGTTTTACTAATTCTTGACGAGGCAGATTTTTATAAAAAAAAAGTAAACAAACAAAGAAAACAAAGCATTCCAAGCGTTCCGGCTGGTGCCTCTGTTACAATCATGTTCACAAGCACGTAAGGGCAACTTCGGCAGGCTTGCAGTTACACGAGCTTCGTCGCGCGGGCGGAGACAACGGCTGTTCGACCGAAACCGAAACCATGCCACTCCGCGCTGCGTCGCCAACTGCATGGTTCACAAAATAGTATGCGAAATGTAACTGTCCAGCATACGACAATAAACAGTCCAGCGACTCGTGCTTGTTAGGCTGGCAGGCGAGGTACTTACTAAACACACAGAAAAAAATAACCTGAGCGTATCGATGTAAGACACTGCGAATCACGGTCAAAAAAGTTCTTGGAGCGCTTCGTGCAACGACTGAACTCGAGACAAACAAGCACGCTGTGCGGGTTCAGCGTGCAGACATTGCCTTCTTTGCTTTAGCTCACTTTTCTTCACCAAATTTCTTTCGCGGCAGATTTTTCACGTACCGGGGTCCCTCTCGGAAGAAAGCCCACCAGGAAAAACCTAAGTAATCAAAACTTTGCCAAGCAGTCATTGAGTTAGAGAGGGATTTTTATAGCAGCGTATGATTTAAACAAGAGCAGGAATGTCGATGCGTTTCAGTTTAGAAAGCGCCATATCTGCAGCGACGTGGGGACGGCAACACACGACGTCGCACGAGCGCTTCAGCTCAAAAGTAACTCCCGCCGCGCAAAAACGTGGTTGTGTTTCACAGCATGACGGCATGTTTGGCACCCGATACACTAACGTCCAAGACTTCGCACACGCCCCCGTTTACCGCTAAAAAAAAAAAAAAAGACGCGAGACGAGATTTCTGAGACGACGAGTACACGAAACGCGAGACGTCGGGAAAACTCATGCAAGACCAAATAGACGATTGATACAGGGTACTTTGTGTCGGGTGGCGTCTTGTGCGACCTAGCTTACGCATGCTCAATTACGGTTCTCAGTTTAGTTTAGTTTTTGAAAGGCGACCAAAATTGCTTCTTTGGCGCAGGCTTGGCACAGATTAGCCATATTTCGGTGAAATGTAGCAGGATGTAGCAAGGTTAGCCCCTTGGTGCAGTTTGGCGCAATTGGCGCAGCAATCACATCATTGATACCGCTTAATATGCAGGCGCGCAAAGGGAAATACCGGTTATAGTGCGGTTTCTGGAGCAGCCCGCCGACCGCGCCGACTGACCCGCGCTGCCCGTGCAGCGAGCACGCTTCCCTGTGCGACACTAGATAACGGCGCGAGCCGCAAGCGGCACTCGCGGGACAAGCAGGTTGCTCGAAGAAGAAGCGAAGAGAGAGGCTTCAGTTGACATAGCGACGGAGGGACGCACGCACGTGTCGTTCACGTGCGTGCTATGCGTCCCTCCGCTGCATTGGAAACAACCGCAACGACAGACCAATTGCAGGTCGAGGATAAGTGTTCGCGCACGTTGCATGCCGGTCGCAGGCCGGCTGCTTCTATCCGCAAACATGGCGTCGGTTGTGATCGTCGACGCAGACGGCGTGGTGGACACTCGTCGTTCCCCGTAAAAGCGCTATCCTTGACTGTGAATTTTCGTTGTGTGCGGCTATGATAATCCAGCACATACTAGAAGGGAAGATCCACCCACTTGTGCGGCGATGTTGTGGCGGCACTCTCAAGACGGCAGAAACGCCCGTGTCGTCGTGTTTGTTTACTTCGACTACAGTGGTGCTTTCTAAGCATGTGTTTTCGAACATCGCCCGGATTTCTTATTTGAAGCATTTCATGCCTGTGCTCAAGTTGAAGGTATTACTGGCGCGTACCGTATAAAGGATACGAATTTCCACGTGTTTTCATCGCCGGAGAAAAGTGATTCGGGTTAACAATCCTGAACTCTCGCAACGTCCGTCCGCAACCAGCGACGCCGTTAAAAGGCCAGGCAAAAGTCGCTAATTTCTTTCAAAATGTGTGACACACCTGAGAGAGAAGTGTACTAGTCTGGTGGTGAAGTAAAGACTTTTTTCAAACTAAGCTTTATTTTTCATCTAACATAAATAAATTGTTTCACAAAGCTAAGTTGTCTCATGGCATGTATTTTGGCCTGAAAAATTGATGTTTTAGTTATAGCGCGGTACCGCTTATAGTGCGGATATTCGCGACTCCCGCGACATACGTTATATGCGGTCTACACTGTACTTATTTATTCAATACTGCAACCTCATTGAGATTTTAGCAGGGTGGACATTGTGGTACAGCAAAATACACCAATTATCACACAAAAAGACCTACATGACAATATAAAAACATGCTGCAAACTATGTCCCAATCACAAAGCCGGCTCGCACAAGTGATTGTGATACACTTATACAAAGCATTTTAAAACGCCATTCAGTAATTGAAAAACATATACTTTTATCACACTAACAAAGAAAAGGGAAAATAAATCGGTATAAAAGCAATATTCAGCAGTGCACTTAGTGACATGTTTGCCTATCAATGGCCAAAAAGAGGAAACAAAGGAAGTAAGAATTTGGTCGTCATCAACACATAACACTTCAAAACCTCCTTTGCTTCATTGCCAGCTTGGGGAGATAAATGTAACACTTCTCTTTTATTCTTAGTCTGCTTTATCAAGATATTATAGGAAGGTCACCGGAGAATCACCGCCTACAACTTCTGGGTAGTGACTCTCTGGCGAGCCTAGAAACATACCATATTCTACAGTAAATGGATGCTGCCTCCATACTATGCTAAGTTACTTTCAGTTTCAGAGCCAAACGAGTTTCATATGCCATCCCACATGTACCAATAACGTGGGTACCTAGCGTTGTTAAACAAAACGAAGAAAACAAGCACCTTAAAATCTAAAGGGGGAACCCCCTTTCTCTATCTCTTGCTATTCTCCTGAAATGCCTCATTTGGGTCCCTGACGAAATCCTAGACCATTTTCGATCTACAATGGAGAACAAGCGACAATAGAATGAGAGTGCTTGAGTCTTCGGCTCCTGTTTGGGATATGTTTTCGGCAGTCGAAGGCACAAGCGACTACGAGAGGTTTCGCCGCAAATATCTGCGATATGCATAGCTGAAGGGTCTCCATGCATAATCAAGCATCTTCCGAAGCAGGACGGCAAATTCGTCCTTTCCAGCAAGACCATACTTCTTGCTGAAAAGCAATTTGTGATGCAAACGGTGTGGAACAACAGGGCACCGGAATGGGAAACCGTGGTGAGAAATGGAGGTGGTCGGACCTTTCTGCATTTAGATGAGCACAGAAAAAAAATATAGCTTCCATGGTTAGCCCGCAGAAACTCCCCATTTAAAAAAAAACAACTTTCTCTGCCAAGAACAAAACGGAGAGCACCGTATAAAGTCCAGAAAACCTATCCTCCATGCAAACTGAACCCTAGTATTTTCTCGCATGGACAAATAGAAAAATTGCCATGGCTAGAAGGAATACGTAAAAGGGTTATGTTTGTCACAGTCGAAGCTCGATAATTAAGACCTCATAGGGACAGCAAAACGCTTCAAATTTAACGAAGTTCAAATTAAAAATACGCACTTAGATTGTAAGTTTTTTTTATTTGATAGTCTCCCAGGAAAAGTTGTTAATTTTTCCTTGCGTCTACTAAAAGAAAAGGAGCATTAACTCTGCTTTGTAAATAGCATACCTTTCTTAGGAAGCCTTCAGCAGTTTCTTTGCTACGGAAAAAAAAAAGTTCATGGTGCCACAAGCAGGTTTTGCGTCAGCGACACTCGGTCACTTGGCACAGATACCAATGTGGTCGTTTCACTTGCACAACTTCACTGTCCGAAAGCGGACCACAGACCACGGCATGTTTGTTGACGTAAATATATTAGGTGGGAAAACATCTCATAAGGCTGGGTGATGCCTCAAACAAAACGTTGAAGACTGCACCTCAAAAGTGAGTGCCACGCAAGACGGAAGCGCTCTTTGTCTGTACAGATATAAACTTGAGCGGGAGCTTAGGAATGACTAGGCTGCCTTTGTGCGAGCCATTATAGGATTACTTGACTCGAGATCTGTCAAAGAAAAAATGAAAGAAAGACTGGTGCCTCCCTCTCCGTACAGGTCCGTGTTGAGGAGCATCAGCGCGCAAGTCAGCGTGTGCACCGCATCTGCAACAAGTGGTCGGCAAGCTCAAGGCCTGTTCACACGTACACCGCAGCAGTGTTAGTCAGTGCTGGAAATAGCGCTAACTATGCCGATGCAGTGACGGCTTCATACTATCTTGATGATAAAACACTTTTAAAATGCTGCATCGGTGCTAAGTTGCGTTCGAATTGGCACTGCACTGTCCCTAGTGTTGATTTAGTGCTGCGACGTACGCTTCAGCGGTTTTAACAAACGCGAGAACAGTCTTCACGTCGGACAAGAGCCTGCAGTAGTGCTCACCCTGCGACTTGAAGGCTCCCGGGTTGGCGTCGAGGTAGCGCTTGGAGAAGTGCACGAGCACGCGCTCCCGCTCCTGCGTCTCGCCGATCAGGCAGAACCGGTGCAGGAACATGCGCAGGGCGGCATCCAGTGGCCGCTGATTGAAGTCGAAGAATTTGAGGTACTCCTCGGCTACCACCCGGGCGAATTCGTTGCTGACAGCAAAAAGAAACGAAAGGGTGCGGTGTCAGGTCGGGGATCGGTGAAGTTACGCCATACACCGCGAGAACTTTCTAGTGCAACGCGGTCAAAGCTAAAGACGCCCATGCACTTGTACACCTTGAATGCTGGTCAGAGCTATGAAGGCAAGCTCTTGACTTCTCCTAAATTGCAACATCAAGTTGTCTTAAGACAAAGACAGATTGAGACACGCATAATGATGGTGAAATCAATCAATGAAAAGCCTTTGAACTAGCAAAGACAAAAAAAAAGAAGATGAAATGGAGCTTGTGCTTTGACAGACCAAGCCAACTAGGCAATAACACAAAAGTGCATTTGCTGTATTGTATCACAGCATTGTGATGAGCCGAAGTGGTGTTTGAGGCACCTTTTAGAGCTGTCGTGTTTATGGTTCTGCTTCCATCATCGGCTGCCTCATTAAGAGGTGTGGAGCAGCAAGCAAGTTGATTTGGAAGCCCAGATTTGCATCCAAAAGCTGCCAGAAGTGCATTGTGGAGTAGAAAATTTGGGGCACATGTATGTCCTTTGTTATTATCAACTTCCTGCATTCATACTTAAAAAAGAGAGTGCCTTTTCTACTTTGCTAGTCCAGCATGCCCAAGAGCTACCACCATTAAAATGTCAAGCATTTAATTAACTGAAATCCAATATATAAAATTGATAGCATTGGTTTCAAGCAGCCTCTTAGGATCAGGAGGTGTTCAGAGACAAATGATCACATAGATTTATGAAACATGTGTATGTATGTGTGGAAAACGCAGTGCCATGTTATTGTTTTCCACAAACGTTTTCTTGTGTATTTTGTAATCATGTTTGTCACGTGTGAAGCACGTGCATATCTTTTCTTTTCTTGTGATTGTGTGCTTTTTCGTTTTGGCACGTGGCGTGTTCGAACCTTGTCTTTTTCAGAGTAGATAAACCTCGGAGTTGTTCAGCCACCACCGGATGCCTGTCTGAACTCGCGACAGGTTCGGCCACGTCGTAAGAGTATGGTGCATTTAAAATTTTGATAATTGAAGCAAAATCAATGAACATTCAAGAGGAATAATTTTGAAAAAGAATCATTACGAGTATGAAATAAAGAGTCTTTTCACAAATTGTAAAACCTGGAATAAAGCGGAAAAATTTATATTCAAATAAATAAAAAGTTTTGATCATCAAGCAGCGCACGGCAAGAGCAGTTAGCTGTTAAATTTAAAGGCAATAATATATCAGCATAAAATTGTTAGTGAGTCAATAAACTGTGGATATTCAATGCTAAAGCTAATTACCCATTTAAAAAACTTTGCTTACTCACTGTATAATATAAATAGTCTTAGGTCAACTTAAAAGCAGCAAAGAAAATTGGGAATCTGACCAAAACAAGAACTTGTTAAGCCACATCAAGTTGGTAGCACAGAAAAACAATTTCACAACGCCCACATGCAAAACCTCTCAGTTATGACTAAGTATGTGCACCAGGCCACCGCCAAGAATTCTAGATATTTCTAGAATAACACGGTATCACTATTTTAAATTCAAACAAAAAAAAGAAAGAAGAAACGATGCACGCGCGCTGTACTTCGTTAAGTCGTTTCCCCTACTTGCCCAGCTCCGCTCCGGGGCAGCTGTAGAACAAAGGGCCGCCAGTCGAAAAGAGTCTGCGAGATGGCGCCCGTTTTCCATCAATAATAATAAAAAGTAGTTTTGCTCATCGTACTCATCACTATTCATAAGCCTTTTTCTTCTTCTTCTTCAACATCAAGATCTAACGATTTTACGGCTATCCTAGCTGCTATTAGTTCCCGAGCTGCGCTCGGTAACGTAAAAGCAGCAGACGAGGTCAATCGTCATTTGGCGTTTACAGAGGAGTGGGCGCGACTGAAGGCTGACGCACACGTGCGAAAAAAACCACAAAATATCAAAAAAAAAAAAAAAAAAGGTCGGATTATGCGAAAATTGTTTTACGCGATTTTCCACGAAAGAGCGTGTTCAAGGAACGCAAATCGCTAATAAGGTTTCGTTAAAAGCATACACGCGAGTTCGAGTTCTGTACCGCAAATACCCATGTGTTATTAAAAAAAAAATATATGTGTAAAAGTTTTTTTATAAGTTAAGGTTTTTAGTGCGATTTTCGGTTGGTTTTTGACACACGTGGTACCAACTTACGCAACATTTGTCATACGACACGCAGTGTAACTTACGCTACGATTTGTGAAGGCAGCGCGGGCTGCGTGTGAGGTTCACGCAATCCGCGCAGCGGCTGCGGAGCGATTGCTCTGCAAATGTCGCTTCCCCGCCTTGCACAGCTGCCACGCGTGAAGCACCGCCAACGCAGACACAGCAAGGTAAGCGTTCTGGCGCAGTTAAGCGTAGAAATTGCATATCCGCTATTGTCACCACACGCCAGAATCGCCTGCGTTTCCTTCAGCGCCGACGACACAAAACACTGGAAGGGCCGTTTGCGTGCACGTTTGTGACTGCTCAAAACACTCGAGCATGTAGCGCTTCTGGACCGCTCCGAATCCACCGAGGGAATTCCCCATTAGTTAGTAGCGCACAAGAAAGTATGTGTGTGTGACGATATCCTTGGAGGGTCTTACCCTATGTAGGAGCTTGCACCATGGAAGTAGCCTCCAACACTCAAGAACTAGCATCGAAAATTTTCTGAATAGTAGATGCTGCAAGATTCGACCTCCATATGCACTTTGGTGCAGCGACGCTACACTCTGTCGTAGCTTAACTTGCAGCACATGAAAGTTACAGGCACGAGGTCATTGCCTTGGGAGGCACTGGTTCCGTAAGTAAAGCTCATCAATAGAGGCAGTTTTCGTGGACTATAAGCTTGCAGTCGTATGGTTCCCTGCATTCTGTTTAAGCGTTGTGGATGCCTGGTCCTTACCTGCTGTGTGAGCGCAGGGGACAGTGGATAAACAAAAACAATGTGCCTACACACTATGCTTCGCACACCCCCGAGCTGATGGCAGGGTGAGAGCTAGCTACATGCCCACCGAACCAATCATCACCCAACCTTGCTCCCTGCGCATGGGTATGGGAGTGGGCGTGATCATGTGGCGAAAGATGAGACTGGTGTAATGAGCGAACAGCTTCGACCGTATTGTCAGCTTTAGGGTGAATGGAGTATCGCAACTGTAGTACTTGAGGCCAATATCAGCAGCCTCATAGCTTTCTGGATTCATTTTTTTTAATGCAAAAGCATTAACTGTTTTCTGGAGCGAGCCGATGTTTGACGACGCCAAACGGCAGATAAATTGCCAAAGCCGCAATTTGAGGTATTTCAGCTTTGAAACCACGCAAACGCCATGCAAAACGGCAGTGCTATGAAGCTGCCGTGCGTCAGTTTCAATTAGAGTACCCCAATCGCGCTGCGTGCCCGCGCCAGAGCAGAAACGGTCGAGGCGCCCACTGATCCTCTCGGCACCTCAGCCGTTCCTGCTCCGGCACGGGCACACAGCGCCGAAAGGGTCAGAAGCAGCCTCGGTGCCGAGAAAATCAGAAGCAGCCGCGGCATGAAGAACGGCATTCATGCTTTTGCATAAGTGCTTAGGTGTATTTCGAGCCTTTTTACAAGATAATCAAATATGTAACATTTATTTCATCAGCACAATGAGAGAGTTGATTGGTGCAACTCCAGCCACCATAAACATAAGAAAAATTGCATAGATCAAAAGAAACTATATTCTGCAGAGCAAAAACAGCCACAAACAAGGAGTTTGGATATTATACATCATTTTCGCATTACTGTGACCTTCCACATCCAGATAAACCATATCCTCAGAGATATCACGATATCACATCTGCACTTTATTGTAGCCATCTATCGATAGCATTGTGCATGATATACTATAGACAGTGTCACCCAAAAAATAGCTTACTATAAGACAAGTCTTCATTGAAGGTACTTCCACAAATGTTAAAAAAAGGAAATATGTCGTACTAAAATTTTTTGAAGTATCAGAATCCGCCATCTATCAATAACATGTTCATCATTTACTATAACCCTAAAGTAGCTTGCTATTAGACAAGTCTTCATTGAAGATACGGGACTTCCATAAATGTTAAGGAATAAAATATGTCGCACTTAAATTTCGCAAAGTATCAGAATCCAATCAGCCAAAGAATCCAGAGAAAGAAGCCAACCACACTCGACCAAAATCCCTTGATGCTGTCTATCCTTTGCCTTAATTCGGGGTCAGAGTTCATGAAGTTGTTCACAATGTTCCTCTTGAGGTCCTGCTGCCAGAACTTTGGCTTTCCGTCCCCGAGCTGAAGAAGGCACACGTCCATAATCTGAAAAGTCGGACAACGGTTATTGCACTTATTGCGCATTCATCCAGTCAACACCACGCCCATCTGACACTGTATCGGCGAGTCTTGCTACAGGTTTGATAACTGCAATTCTGCAGGGCTGAAAAATCCTGGTGGCTGATGGAGGAATTACTATTGGGTTCCCCAAAGTATCCCAATAGGTTCCTTAAGCTGTTCCTGCCCCTAGGTGCACATTTCTGCAGTTTCAGCACTATTTCAGCAGATCTGAGCCCTCCACTGATGCATAGCTATGAGCCAAACAATCCGTGGTACTATGTGGATTATTGTTTGCAAGGTATGTGGGCTTCTCAACTGCCTTCCTGCATCAATGCTGAGACTGGAAGCCTTGGCTATGAATATAAATTGAGATGAGTGTTCATGAAGATAAAAAAAAAGGTTTTGAGAACCATTGTCCTATTTATAAGTAGGGCCCTTCGTTTTCAAGTGTTATGTTTTCCAAGAATGGGGGGAAAGTGGGGTAAAAATCTGGTGGTATTTTTTATGCTCGTAAGTGGGGAGGCATAGGGATTCTCTAGAAACTATTACGGAACTCTCTGCGTTATATATAAAGATCAACAACTATAATTTACAAAGAGTATTGATTGCTTTTAGGTCATGGAAGGTTTGATTTACACAAACAAGTCATTAATGTGTAAATAATCGGATTAAAACATGGCACAAGAGCCCATTTGGTCAATTCGATTTTCAGCAAATTTTTGTTGACAAACATAAGTGTCTGTATGAGTAGAATTTGTCCCGATAAAGCTATCCAGTCTTCAGACGTATCCTAACTGAGAGAATGGTTTCTCAGTATCAAAGCTTTCATTGGCAACGCTTAGCAAGGTCAGCGTGGCATTCGGTAGTCTGGGATGGCACTTCTGTCATGCGTGCTTTCAACAAGTTCCATTAATGATCTCCACATTTCTACATCGCCAAAAACACTAAAATCATAAAATTTTTGTTCCAAATTCAATAAAAAATTGGGTGTAAATACAGAAAAATATCAGGTTTTACCCGAAAACAAAGGGCCCATGGTACTGTGACAGTGCAGAGTCGAACGAGAAAGTGAGGAGTAAGTGAGGGAAGAGCAAGAACGCTCACAAAAGAACGTAGAGTAAACTCGGTTCCGAACTTGTCGGCAGAGAGCAGGATTATCTGCTTGGCCCGTCTCAGGGGCTCTCCGACGACACGTGTGAATGCGGCCACATTCTCGGTTCTGCGTTGCTTCTCCACGGACCTCAGTTTTTCCTGAAATTGGCCCGCAACAAATATTTAGCACAGACACCAAATGATTTTTCTTGGGCAACATTATAGACCATTTCACTAAAAAGAACAGAGAGGAAAACAGGCTTCTTTCCTCTTATCCGTATCCGGCGCATTGTCTGCTTCATAAACTGGGCGGTACCAAACATCCAGTTGGTGTGCAAACGCTGTTGAAAATCACGTCATTTCGGCAATATTATGCGCAAATGTGCGGATTTAGATGTGCAAGTTAATGTAAAATGTTACTATATCCAATAAAGTGACCGAACGGGCACAATCCTGATGTCACCTGTTGCGCAAATAAAAAAGAAAAGTGAATATAACCCTGTAAACAGTGCGATTGGTTTGTCATCTCTCGCAAAAAATTCATGCAGTTGCAGTAGCTTTATGCAAGATTGTTCAAACTGATTTGGACCTTTAGCAACTATGTGTGATAAGTCTATACCCATTTTCACCTCAAAAACCGTAGTAAAAAAAGACGGGATACTCGTGGAGCAGTACTAATTTCCCCCTTTATGTTGATAATCAAGATATATGTGGGTGAATATTAGATTAGATAGACTATGTTATCTTATCAAGACATATATGATCCAAATGCCAAAAGCATAGCTTTTTCCTCCAACAGCCGAATCTTGTAAGAACTAATTCGTGCCGCGTATGAACAATGTGCAAAACTTGCTTGTTTCTTGAGATGAAAACAAGTATAGATGAAAAAAAAAGCAAAACAGGTTTTTTAATATAAATAGCAGCACATTTTTTTTTCTTTTTTTTGGTACGGGTTTACACAAATTGCCTGTTAGCCTTGGATATGAAGACCTTATTGGGCTTACATTATCGCAGATGTTTGTAGTGGTCTCTATGTAACCAAAATACCCAACTTTATGTGATGTTTACGCATAGGCGGCACTCAGGAAATGGCTAATGAGTGCACAATTGACTTCAATACACAGTACACAGCAATGTTTGTGCAAGGTTGTGTATTGCAATTCATAAAAAAGTAAAAACAGCTACCCTTGACGTGAAGGTGCTTTCTTGGCTAACAAAATTATTTTACATATGGCTGGGAACATGGAAGGAAAACAAATCTGGGTTTTAATGTTTCTGAGCCCAGAGTAAGAAAAATTGTATGTTTGCGTGGCTTTTCACAAAAACCAAGCAAGACTCTTTCAAACTCAGAACTGTATAATCAGGATTCTATTGTCTGCTGATGCGAGAGATACAGCGGTTAAGGGTTGTACTGATGGTGAAAGCGATTACTATTGAAGTAACCAAACGAAAGTATGCTAGCCTATTGTTTACTTAAATAAGACAATAGAGCACAACAGATTGCTCCTCGAGTAGGCGTAAGTACTCTAGAGATGCAAACCACTTCACAATGGCAGCAGTGAGTAAGTGTTAAATGTTCGTACAACCCACGGGTACTGCCCAAACATGGAAAGCGGCCGGTTTGTCGTCCGCTACCAGGATTGGTTGGGTGCACTCTCCCTCTTTTACGCCACTCAATTTGTTCAAATGCCTGGATGTAACAAAATGGTGCCACCCTGAGAGCACTCAATAAAATGGTCTATATTCTGCAAAGTCTGTTACATTTCGTTAATATGTACACCTCTGTACTCCCAAGAAAATTGTCCATAATATCAGCCGTCTATAATAATGAGACAAAAATGCATGTATTTATGCAGTTCATCCCCGTAAATTTGATCTATATAGAGGGGTATCCATATTACAGGGCCAATATTAATGGGGCCCATATTAACAAGACATGACTATATAAGCAAAAATCTGATTTCATAGTTATGCAAAAGACTGCATGGCATATACTAATAACATACTTTTATTACGTAGATGACTCTGGCCGGCCACTTCCGCCAGCCACTTGCATTATTGGAGGTTTTAAAATTTGGCATTTTAAATTTCATAAAAAGAACATGATGTAGTGGTAATTTCCCAGGAGCTTACTCGGAGAGGTCTTAGAAATCTTTGAATAAAAATAATTAGCCATGAAAAGTTTAGCACAATTAATTTGTTATTTATTAAGAAAGTTCTGCTCAAAAGTACTCGAGCAGTGTCGACGGTCACTAAATTAATTGTCAGAAGGAAGCTTTGAAGCATCTACTTTCATTTCCTGCATCCTGACAATTTGGAAGCAATTTGGATATGCACCTAAAGTTTTTAATCCTCCATGAACTGCACCTGCGTGCTGCACTTGGCACGGCTGGTGAGCAGTTGTGCCTTTCACGGGATTAAGCCTTGTCTGTTATTCAAGCGGCTCTGCTAGCTATACAGGGTATTTTTATAGCCTTTACAGACTTTACAAAAAAATTGGGGGACGCTTAAGCTTCGCCTTTAAGAATGGAACGCAATAGCGTTATCGGGCCCCGTTTGCAAAGACTTTTCATATCAACCCGCACTTGTTCCCAAGCCGTGCAAGCATGTTCGGTAGGGTTACATGTCATGTCACGTCACATGACATCATGTGTGATGTCGTGTCCCGTGACGCACAACGTGACACGTGGTTGTGATGTCATGACCCTATCAACCGACTAGATTTAGCGGAAAATTTCAGCTAAATTTGTCAGGTCTCTCTTAACATTTCCTTCCATTAGCTGTTAACTCCTCCTCCCCACCTAATGATGAACTTCTGGCCTCTGGCTATGACATACACATTAGTATTTCCTCTTTCGCAAGCCTTCTCTCTCTCTCTCTTCGGCTAAATATGGCAGGAAAATTTTCGGCTAAATTTGGCGAGAAATCTTTCCGCTAGGTTCGATGGGAAATTTTTCCGCTAAATTTGGTGGGAAATTTTCCTCTAAATTTGGCTGCAAATTTTCGCGCCAAATTTAGCGGGTTGACAGGGTCATGACATCACAGTGCACACAGCATTATGGGATTTTATGGCCCCACCGACACCAACACCGGATTTTCTGCGGCACAAGCTTCTAGCTCTATGCGTTAAAGGTCGTAGAGGCTACGCTAATAATATGGTCTCGGCAGGCGAGTTATACAACCAAGGGGACATAAACGAAAATGTCGCAATAGGTTGGACAACTAACTACAATTTCTTCCTCAATTTTTTAATTAGAGGTAACAAACATATAAACATACAACTTGCTGAGTACCGTCGAAAACCACTAACTGGGTAAATTTTAGAAAGATTTGGAGTGCATGGTTGTGCACTAACGTTACAATTCGTACAACCGGCTCAAGGCTGGCAGTGCAAAAGCACAAATGACAAGAACACATCAGTATTATCCACATTTTTGCTCTGCGAACCGTGTACCTATTGCACGAGTGGTGACTTCAGTGCTTCACCATGCCCCACATGCTCCAAATCTTTCTCATTTAATTGTTTAGTGGTTTTTAATGATGCTCAGCAAATTTCTATATTCCGTCTACCCATAAAGGGACACTAACACCCCCCAAAATTGTTTTTTTTTTGCCAGGCCATTTATTATGGTGTCAGAAGACTACCCAGTCAATATTTTGCTCCAACGTCACATTAAATTTTAATAAAGTAAAAAAATGCAACTGTTCGAAATTGAACTTGTACAGGAAGAAATATAGAGGAGAAAGTCACCAAATGTCACATAACTATTGCAACCTTTTTTTTTTTTCAATGTATGTGCAGTTTTTTAGAAGCCACAAAAAATTGTCATCATATTTTTCTTTCAATTTTAATATTGAATATGTGCCTTCGATGACCAAGACTAATTATTTTTGGTGGTTGTGTCTAAATCATAGAAAACGGCACGTGACCACGGAAAAAAGAGTGAGCGTGACTTAAACCGGCAAATTCTTGATCGGCGGTTTTTGGGCAGAAAAGAAAATGAATTTCGAGCCACAAACTGTGTTCTGGGTAGTTGGGCTCTCAAATGTTATGTACAAATAAAAACATTGGCGGGCATAAATACCCAGTCAGTGTCCCTTTAAGGCGAGACCAGGGGCTCTGCCTTCAGCACAAGCTTCCTGCCCTTGCTAACACAAGTGTGAACGTGTAGGCACGCGCAACCAAAGCACAGCAAAAGCCAGCGAGCTTGCGCTGAAGGCACAGCTTCTACTCTCGGCTTAAGGGTGAATGGAGTACATCTGGAACAATATATTTATTTTCACTGATTACAACAAATTTTAGTTAATTGTCTGACTTATCGTGACAATTAGCCGCTAGATATGTCCTGTGGTGTCACACACCTCCTTGGGTGCAGCGCTCACGGGGGTGCAGTTGGGCAGAGAAAGAGGGGGGTGTTGCGGTCGGCTACGAGAGGGGGGGAGGGTGTCGCGGCGGGCACCCCAGGTACCGCCGACCCTAGTGACACCACTGAATATGCCCCCCTGGCCGTACAACTCACCTGCACGAACCACATTATTGTAGCTTTCATGGCTTTTTTTTTTTTAATTTGTGAGGCTTGAATAAAGCACCACGTAATTCATGCACAAGATGGTTGCACAACAGAGGCAGTAGTGTCTTGCTTCAACATAGTGTAAAACACCAGGCAAGTGCCCACTCAAAATTTAGAAATAATTGCAAGAAACTGGGGGATGGGCGCTTTTCTGGTCAATCTCTTCATCAGCAGGCATGGATAACGTAAATGCAAAAATTCTAAAAAACACGAAAGACTTGGTGAGCGTGATATTAGCTAAAATATTTTCGCAATCTCTTTCTAGTAGTCTTCTGCCTGATGACTGGAAAGTGGCAAAGATTGTCCCGATTTTCAAAAATGGTGACAAATACTCCCTATTTAACTATCGACCCATCTCCCTAACAAGCGTATCATGCAAACTAATGGAGCATATCATCTACACTAACATCATTCAATTTCTGTCAGACAACTCTTTCATCAACCCATCCCAGCACGGCTTTCGAAAAGATTTTTCATGTGAAACTCAACTTGCATCGTTTACTCATGACATACATGTTAACCTTGATTCAAACATTCAGACTGACGCTATCTTCCTGGACTTTGCCAAAGCGTTTGATAAGGTTCCTCATGGACGACTCATATACAAGCTTTCTAAACTCAACTTAGATTCCTCGATTCTGAACTGGATCATTAACTTTTTAACTAACAGACAGCAACTTGTTACCGCTAACCAGTCATCATCTTTTTTTGCTCCAGTCATTTCCGGTGTTCCTCAAGGATCGGTCCTCGGACCCCTTCTATTTTTAATTTACATTAATGACATGCCTATATCAATAACATCGCATGTTCGTCTTTTCGCTGACGACTGTGTCATCTATCGCCAAGTGACTAACCCATCAGATCACGTACTCATCCAAGATGACCTCAACCGCATCCAAGCATGGTGCAACACATGGCAGATGTGTCTCAACGTCAATAAGTGCAAGCTTGTGTCGTTTACACGTCGCTCTAAATCCTCTATCTTTTCCTACTCCCTTAACAGCGTTCCTTTGGAAAAAACTAATTCTTACAAGTATCTCAGAGTTCATCTTACATCTGATCTTTCTTGGGCTACTCATATCAGTCACACCATATCTTCTGCTAATCGCTCTCTAGGTTTTTTAAGGCGCAATTTGAAACTGGCCCCTCCTCACATAAAACAACTTGCCTACTCATCCCTTATCCGCCCTAAACTGGAATACGCATCTGCTATCTGGGATTCGCACCAAGCCTACCTCATCAATAACATTGAATCAGTTCAGCGTCGAGCATTACGTTTTATTTACTCAGATTATTCTTCTTTTACTAGCGTCACATCTCTTCGAACCCGTGCCAATCTCCCCCTCCTCTCTGAACGCCGCCGTTTAGTTTATCTCTTTTTCAAAAAATTTTTTACAGCCCGTGCCTCCGATTATCATACATCGTTCTTTCTGTAGGCCTCAACCGTCGCACGGGTCACAATCTTGATGTACTGCGTCCAAAAGCAAGAACCACCACATTTCAGAACTCATTTTTTTCACGTACAGCCTCCGATTGGTACGGGCTCTCCCAGAACATTGTAACTACTCATGACTCATTAGATTTAAAGAATTAATACGTGCAATCGCGTTCTAGGTATTTTTAGTTTTCTTGTTTGTTTTTTGTTTTTGTTTGCATACTAATTGTCTTGACGATTTTGTTTTATTCTATATGCATAATTTACTTTTGTGACATTGTACCCTTTTGTTGATGTTTATTGCATGCCACCATTATGTAATACCCCCTACGGGGGTCCTTAAGGTTTATAAATAAATTAAAAAAAATTTATGTATAAATGTCCTGTGCATATTTTCTCAGATCTTACAAATTTGATTTTAGACTTCTTTCAGTTGCACAGGTTCAACTGCTGCATACACATACCAGCAGCTCTTGTGAAGACTTTTTGTACTCGGGCGAAGTCTGGAAGGCACCCAGGGAGCGTCTGAACTCTGCGTGCGAGGTACGGGCCTCTTGTAGGAGCCTAAGCAAAGCATAATCATGCAAAATGTAAACTTGCATGAATGAAAATTAAAACACATCTTGAAAAGATTTTTTAAATAGACTCGACCTAGAACCATAAATAGGGAGTTTTAGAATAACATAGGCAATTTTAGTGCACACTAGCTCTAAATTTAGAGCTTGCGTCGGCTCATGCTACGCAAGGAAGTGTTAAAAGTGTTTCCCCATTGTGACCCCAAAACCTAAGCATCTCACACTTGTAGTGCCACAAAGGTACAGCAAAACGTTTTATTTCACGCACGAAATGCTGTAACTTGAGAAAAAAATAAAGCTTTCTTCTCAAAAAGTAACATGTATTATTGTTTACAAATATGAGAGTGCAATGCGAGCGGTCAACTGCGTCTCGCGTACTCACCTTCGCGCAGCTATGCCAAGAACCATTTTTCATGTCGCAAGCAGCAAGTTGCAAGTAATCGCTGGCCACCTTGCTGGGTCTTCCGAACCATTTGTGACGTGCGCCTCCCGTATTTTTGACGCCAACGCCAAATTCAGTTGAATTTGGCATTGCCGTCATTGGCAATACTAATTTGTCCCACGACAAAAGTCGCACACCAGTGTGGCTTCGATAAACGTCGATACCTTAAACTCAATAAACTGACGGAGGTAGCCACAAGGAAGCTCGTAATCATCCCATCAATCTATCCCGCGGCCGCGCGAGGTGGAGTGGTTAAGGATGTAACAGAGAAGTTTCAACTGCCCCTCTTCCCTATTTTATACAACCTTTACGGTCCATAGCTTTCACTGTTACCCCCAGAAACATACCCTCTCCTTTCTCTAAATCCCAAATCCCATGGCCCGAACTGGAAACCAAAAGAGTGGCTTTTGTCCCGACTTGAATGGTACGATGACCTGTTTCCCTGAACCAACCTTGACGAGACAAGCCGTAAGACCCCCTTTTGACAACAGTCCGAGGCTTGAAAGATAATTATGGTGTCATTTTCCCAGGACCATTGATCCTACGCTACTCAAATTGTAAAAAAAGAAATATATATACGTACGTTAATTTTTATTTGCTCTGTGTGTATATGTTTGTGTGTGTGTGTGGGGGGGGGGTGGCATGGGCACATAACAATCTGGAGTTTATCGGATAAATCCGAATTGACAAAAATTTTACCAGCGGGTGTTTTTCGGATTTATCCGAAAACCTGCAGCCCTATATATAATCAATATCTTGTTTGACATTTACATTTTTGAAAAGAAAATTCCTTTAGCTACATCTTGGTATGCTTCAGTACACTTAGTAGCCAAATTTGCAGCTAAACAATTTTTTCTACTGAGGCCACCTCATAACAGCCTTTTTTCATATGTTAAGGAAAGAGTTGGTTTCTGCTGTTTCTACCATGCACCCATACCAACTAGCCCAACTTTTCTTTCTCCTCCCACAGCTTGGCTGCAGAGAGATTCTGCCCTGAGCACTCTTTCTGTCACGTGTTGACATGGCAGGGCTAATTCGTTGTAGCATTCGTCTGGCTACATAGAACTTTGCAGAAAACAAACTTAAATTATGTTCAAAGCAATGCAGTCGGCAGCATTACCCAAACAAGATGACATAGAACAGTCCACATTTGTGAGGCTTTGCAAATGATCTTGCTTTGGATAAGGAAACTGACTTCATGGATACGGACTCTCCAAGCTTCTCCCAAAAGCCCTGAGCACTGTGTCACAAGTGCATGACCTGTGCCACATGCCAGATGCAAAATTGCTCAGCCTGGTATTACTTTGTGAATAATAATAAAGTAATGAGATGGGAGCCACATCAGACATTAAATGGTTCTGTTCCATGACATGCAAAATGTTAGCTCATACTACTTGTTCCACAACACCGGTTGATTCACATCCCTTTTCGAGATGGGGAATACGAGCATCAATATTGAAAAACTCAAACAGACTCATTTTCTTTCCATATTAAAATGTATGAAGAACTCTATACTTTCATTGTTCGAACTGATTACACAGAATTTGATAGATACGTTTTGCATTCGATTGATGATTGGTGAAGTTACTGAAGCAATTCGCCAGAATGGTAAAATAGAAAAAGAAATGGAGGTTTTATTAGATAATATAAAGATCTTAGTCGAGGAAAAATGCTTGCTACAGATTTTGTGTACTAAAACATGTGCGCAAAGCAGCTATCAGTGTTGACAAAAAATGACTGCTGAAAAGCAAGTCATTTTTTGTCTTGACTTTGACCAAGTCAGAGTCAAGACAATCCATAACTGCCTATCATTTCTGATACTACAAAGAACTCTTTACCCGAAATACATGATAACTTTGTGCCTGCATGACACCATCGATACACTATTGATATTATTACCCGAGACAAAAAAATATTGTTTTAAGACTACACAACACTCCACAATGACATGCATTTTATCCCTCTACTAGACATAGAAGATTATTCGCAACTCCAAAGCGGTAGTTCAAAGGTGGCGAAAGAGACGGGGATAGACTACCCAGGATTTCCCGTGCGCTAAAAATGATTTGTCTGCAAATGTGAAGCGGTTAGGGAGGGATCATATTACAGGTGACCGAGATGCTGATGTATGCTAGGAAAATGAGCATGCTGATATTTAGAAGTTGCAGAAACCTCAACTTGCGAAGCACTATGTTGGGTGAGCGCATTTTAGGCCACGTCCCTGTTTGTGGCAGAATATTTTCGAGGGTGATGAAGATATTATGTTTGCACTTTGCCTGGCCATTAGTGCTCCAAAAAGTGACCCGCGCATGCACGGTGACCATCGAGCTTCGGAAGAACAGCGTTCACAGTATTGCTGTCTTTGTGTCACAGGCTCGCAACTCGCTGCTCACCGTCTTGGTTTTAGTGTATTGCAACATGTAATCAAACTGCTCTATGGTTATTGATACAAAAGTTTGTTACCGCGGGTTACCGTACGGTGTAGCATTACAACCGGAAGCGTCATTGAAGCACAATTTTCAGCGTGCGCCAGGAGCGTTGCCGTGCCGGTAGCCTGCAGTAACGCTATGCCTGCCTTTTAACATAATCGGCGTGTTTAGGGGTTATATTTATGACTCTGTCAAAAATAAATATTTTAATATACCATACATTTTTTGTGCCTGATATTTGCAACGTTGCGGCCCCTCTCACCAAAAGTGACCGTTCTAAGCTCTCATCCCGAACGGCTGTCTAACACAGACGCGCTTAAAATGCTTCGAGCATTTCTTCATTTTCTTTGTAATTACCTAAAAGCAAGTACGGGTATTCTGTCTTTTGAAAGTGCTCAGAGTAAATGTGCATGTTCCTTGTAATAACCTTAAAACGCAAACCCTTTCACGATGTGTATAGCTCGACATACTGTTCGGCGATGAGTTTTCTCCTACTTATGGCAAACAGTAGGTTTTTTTTGCCTTTTAAAATAAATCAACGCAACTGCATTTTACTTGACTGCGGCAGGCTAAAGATACCTCTAGTAATGCACTCATTACAAATTATCATGTAGGAAAATTAACTGCTCAACGTATTGAGAAAGTAAGCGCTCCCTACGCGCCGTGATAACATTTCCACCAGTAGAATGACCCTTTCACTCGGGAAACCTGTGAAATTTCACTAAAGTTCGAAGGAGTTCGACTTACGGACAGTGTTGCCCAGGTGCTACACAAATATTTCAAATTTTGGTAATCAAATAACTTAAAAAGTACTCTATTTTATATTTCATAAAATGGTTAATGTTTACACAATATAAAGGTGAAAATATGCACTTTTAACGCTTTCATTAGTTATTAATGTGAATCAGTGATGCCAATAAACCGAACAAATATTGCACTTTCCCTCCGCCAGGTAGAGTCAACTACCTTTTTTTTTTTATTTATGTTTGTGCATGCGCACAAAAGTTGAACTTCACTCGAACCTTTGTCAAACATCACGTTGAAAGTTCGAAAAAGTCGAACTTGGTTGGCTCGAACCTGGGCAGGTTCCTGACATCCATAGTTTTGACAGCGCAGAAGTGGCAGGAGTTGTTGTCAATGGCGATGCAATGTTTTGCTCGCACCTAGCTTTTTTTTCTTAATTTCCAAACATTTTTTTTAGATAACACTCTCGAGATTTATTTTATATTTATATTTCACTCTCGAGGCTCATTGTACTGTATCAATTTATAAAATGTGCAATTACATCACATATTGCTATAAAAATGCCCCACAACAAAGGGCTTGGCGAAGAAAGAAACGAAACTAATCCTGTCTTCCTGCCATCGGACAGATAGAAACAGAGCAGACCGAAAACGCACGCATGATACGCCTTTCTCAGTGAATAAACATATTCATAGGGTAATGCATGGCAGGCAGATTATTCGTTACTCGAAAATTCACAGTGTGTGCAAATATTCACTGTTTTTCCCGAATATTGCGGAATATTCAGGAACTTCCGAATATGCAATTTCCGAATCGAATACGTTTCGAATAAGGAAAATATTCGATTTGTATTCGAAATTTCGATTATTCGCACACCCCTAGAAATTATACATCCCTGTCCTTCGTGGAACGCTGTTGCAAGGCAGAGCACAAGAATCCCTATTTTAACATGCTCACTTTTTTTCGTTTAAAGACCGACAACCAAATCGCACTTTCCACTTTTCCCCCACTTCCTCCTCTCCCCCCTTCTACCCTGTCCACCCTGGCCTGTTTCCTCCTTCCCCACGGTGAGGAGGATCTTCTTACTTGCAGAATCTCGGGTCTGGTCGTCGGCCTTTAAACGGCTTCATGCGCCAAGGCCAACAGCCCCTGCCACCGTTTCCGCGCCGCTGCCGCCACTGCTGTCCCCGCTCCCCTGATCTCCGTCCGCTTTCCTGATCTCCGTCCGCGAGAGGGCGAGCGGTGCGCTGGAGTTGCGAATAGTCGGAGCGCAGCAAACGCTGGGGAGGAGATGACCTCCTCTCCAGCATTCGCTCTGCTGAAGTGGAAAGAGGTGGGAGGAGTTTCCCTTGAACTACCACAAGCAATGTACTGGTGGAGGTACCTTAGATCAAGGTCAGTATCATGTAAGGACAGATGCTGCGGTCCAGTTCTCTCAGCAAACCTTTCCACGAGTTTCCTTGTCTGAAAGAAATGACAACAGGCACATTGTAGAGTGGACTTGTGATGCACGACTGAACTAAGTAATGAATTCAATGCCCCATTTCTCTTAAAGATATGCAGGAAAATTCTGGACATGCATAGACAGAAAGTCAAACGCTATACAAAAAACAAGACTTACAGTATCAGCCATGAGTTTTGAGATGAATTGATCATTCTCTTTTCTAAGGTCTTCCATTCGACGGTTTATAACATCCTGAGTGCAAAGAAGAAAAGAACAGTTAGGTCTTGGAATACATACTCCAAAGCACCATACCAAAAAAATCCCAAGCAAATGCCCAGCCTAGAGAGATTGCCCAGCCGATTGTTTTGGCTAAATATCCATAAAATAAAAGATGCCTGAACAGCGCCCACCAGTTGCCGTGAGAATTAAAGAAAGACAAGGCAACAAGAAGGCAAAAAACTCGGTCCAATGATGTTTGTTTGACCAGAAATTATATATTAGCTACAGAGCTTGGGATGTACAAAGCTGAAAACCACAAACACATAGGCACATGCAAAAAAAGACTGCATTAAAATGCATACTACTATATACATCAAATGAAAGCAAGGAAAAATGACTGGATTTCTAGCATTTTCGCGAGCCTTATTCTGGATGCACAGTGCAAGTCCCCTTCCCCCCCTTCCTCCTCACTGAACTTTCCCAGATTGCTCAAAATGCATTCCAGCTTGGTAGCTGTTGCCACAAAGCCATAAACCAATGGTAACAGCAGGTTTGTGTTCAAGCACTCGGCTCTGCTGCAAAATGTACCGCTCATAAAAACTCACCTTCAGCAGTGCTTCATGAAGACCATACTTCTTTTCGCTTGAGAACCTCTTGCATTCCGAATCGAAAACCTATAAAGTCATGGTACAACTCAAATCGGCACAATTGTCGAAAGACATTAAATGAGATAGAACACCAAGGAAATGGTAAGGGCTCTCAAAATAAGACACTAACCTTCCCAAGACTAAACTGAAGCTGTGCCTCTTTGTTAGCATGGCCTAAACTCGAGTTGTGACACAAACATGGCATCTATAACAAAAACAAGCATGTACCTGAAAAGCAGCGTCCATCCCTTCTTTTGCTGCTCTCGTCAGTTCCTGATCAGTTAGAGCTTCTGATACGACAGCTTTAGATGAGAAGGTATCTAAGAAATGAAAGGAGAATACACAATCCATTTTTATTCAAACGTGGAGCATTTCAGTCACATCTCACTCATTAAAAAAATAAGTGGCATTCTCTCACCAGACGCTTTCTTTCACTCACTTCAAAAAAATAAGTGGCATTCTCTCACAGCTTTCTCAAAGACAGCTTCCAAGAAAAGCTCATTCTGGAGTTGGGTGGCATCGATCAAATGCGCAAGTGATTGCTGTGATTCACCCTAAAAAAGTCAGAATTGAAATTGGGATGAAAAAAAAAATGAATATAAAACAGCACTAGAGCAGAAGCCCACACAAATTACAGATCATAACACAAAAAATGTTACAACGGAAAGGGCCATCAATACATGGTGTAGGGAGTTTTTTTTTAACATTTTGTCCGGTTAACCATTGTTGGGGTATATGAAGCAGTTGTTACTCATGCCAGTGCAGCATAAAAGTAAAATCGGGCAACAATGGAGCCAACAAAGCAAACACTGGCATTACTGGTGCATAAACAACTTCTTTTACACTATGTAAAAGAAAATAAAAACTTGCCACAAATACCAGTGTATGTAACACACCTTTACACGTTAGACATTAACCTTTCTGGAACTAGCAACTTAAGTGTTCCTTGCAACAGGTTAGCGCTACAATTTCCTACATTTAGGATCCACTTTATCGACTTGCTCAAAAACGGCACAGCAGAAGCTATGGTCACCGAAAGGGTGAGAACGGCAGGGCGAGAACCGCGGTTGTCCCGTCTCCAGCGCGAGCACCCTACATTTGACAGCGGCGTCTCAAGAACCTAGAGCGTGTGCGTGCAGCCAATGCATGGCAAAAGGTAACAAGCGAGTGCTGGACGTTGGGTGTTCCAAAGAGATGCCCTGTCGTTCTCACCCCAACAATATAAGGAAGGCATGGGAAGGTAGCAACCACTGCTATCTGGACAGGCTTTGTTATTATGCTGCACAATTAACACCCAGTTTCTTGCCCCCGCAGGTCGTACATGCGGGTCTACGTTATTAACTCGAAGGTGTGCTACGAGCCATCACTGTAAAGACCCTCCAGCAGATGTCTTGTTTTGCATCGAAGCACGATTGAGCATTCATATGAGAACAGCAGCACCAAAGCAGGAACAAACCTTGAGTGATCTGGTGTATGTCTTCTTGTCCTCTTCCTCAAAAACACTATCCAGTTCCTTGGCAAAGTCCGTGACTAGACTCTCGGCGTAGGCACCGAGGTCTCGCTCAAGTATGGCAGAGTTGATGGGGAGGGCAATGCCCCTGGCATGACCTTCCGCAGTGAGCTACACAATGCGTGGACATGTAAAAAATTTAAAAAAAAAGTAAAGGAAGGAACGAGTGGGAGGTTACCTCAATACACAGGGTCAATTATTCTGGAGAGGCAATACTGACCAGATATTTCTGTTCCTGGTTGGAGCAGAAGAGCCGAACCTTCTTGGAGTTCAAGTCACGCTGCCTGGCATGAAGTCTTTCCAGGTTCTTTCCTAGCTGAGTGCTTGCCGACTCGAGGGCATCTGACAACCTGGAGATGCAGCAGTTTGATACTACCATGAACCTTGGCATCAGGTTGCCTCTGTACACTACTCTAGGCTAGACAAAAAGGGTTCTCCATTCAAAACTAGAAAGCTAAAACTAAACAGAAAGGAGGACTGTACTGCCAACACCTGCCTGAGCACACCTCTAGAACCGCACGTGAAACTCGTAAATAAATTGGCACGGTTGAAAGGGGGTACTACAATTCCCAACAGAATGAAAGTGGCAGGGCGTGTCTTTCGAGTGCCTGGCCTCCAGCACGCGCGTGCTAGAGCTGCAAGAGACACCGAAGCGTTATCAAAGGAATAAAGCTCGTGTTGGAGAAGGGACGATCGAAACTCCCCTCTGCCGTCCTCACCCTGCCAGTGACCATAGAAAGAGGAAAACCCTGGACAGCTTCAGAAGAGCTGTATAAGCATCTCACTGAAGATGACACTAAGCAAAATAACAACTGCAGGTCTAAACGTTTTCATCAAAATTCTTCATTCTACAGCCAGTCGTGCTGGAAAAATCTACCTTTCACACAGACCTCCCCACAATCTTGGGGAAAAGCTAAAGTGATTTTTAGGAATCTTTTTAGTGGATGCACTTAGCAAAGGTGCCTCAGACAACACTGTCCAAGGCCTAATCTATACAGATAGTAATGTTTTGTCCCACAAATTAATCACAAAATGAATGAACCGTACTGACGACACCGCCTCAAAAGTAGGAAGGAATGCTTAAAAATAAACGCTATTAATCTTAAAAATTCTTTAATCAAGCAAAAATACAACAGTTTTAGGAAACCGAAAGAAACTTGTGCAGCATCCCTTTAAATTTGCCTTTTTACAGAGAGCTACACATGACTGTTCACAAAACAAGACCAACCAAGAAAAGTATAAAGTGTTTTACCCATGCAGCAACTGTGTGAGAAGAGTGAATGATTTCTTCTTTGCTTGAGCATGCCACTCCTAAGATCATGAAACAAATCAGGAAAAAAAAGTAAATGATTACCATGCAGATTAAAATAAACAAAAAGAATTCCCACATAAAACTTGGAAAATGCACTTCCACAGTAAATGATTAAGTGCTGATTGTTTGGCAAATTGGTATTGTGAATTCGAAAACATGATTGCACTTTAGAACATGGACAGTGGAAGAATAGACAACACAAAACGCTAACTTTCAACTGTTTAATCAGAGAACATCGTGCATTCGCACTGCGCAACTGCAAAACCCTCAACCAATCCGACGCCCCGTCACTGATTGCATTGTACGCTATCTCTTTTTCTGCCAAGTCAATTGAGGCCACGCTGATGCCAGAACTTTTGATGATGTCAGCCTCAATTATTTCTCTGTCTTGTCTTTATGTTTGGCGAGAACAGTACATGTGGCATATAAATGTTTGCGCCCCCAGTCATGACGGGTGGTTCTCATTTGAACCCGTTCGCATTTCTACCTTCTCGTTTTTACCTTCTCATTTCAACCCAGCGCAAAACAACTTTCGCGTTTCTCCCTTTCTAAAAACCGTTCTGAAAACAAACTTTCAGGTTTTGACCCTTCTCAAAACGACTTTTCTCATTTTAACCTTTCTCATTTAAAATTTTCTCAAAACATACTTTCTGGTTTTGACCATTGTCAGAAAGACTTTTCTCATTTTAACCTCTCTCATTTCGAACCCAAATTAATCCAACATCATGATCTCGCAATCTTTCTGCGGTATTTATGGCGAATTCGGGTAATTAATTGCCTTCGAGCCCTTGCCTGTGGCACCGGCGACCAAAAACGCGCCAGCGGCGCATCACGTGACCCTCTCCACCCGAATGCAAAACACAATGAACTGGCGTTTTTATTTGACTGGGTCGCGAGTGAGCTCTGTTAACTTCTTCTTCGATCATTCTATGGTACCATGAACACGCTGCATACGCCAACAACATAAATTACGACTCTTTGAGATGTGTGTAAACAGAAGCGGCTTCACGAAACTTTTAAAAATATTGACATTACCACAGTCCGTACAGCTGACAGAATATTAAAATATAAAATCAATGAAAGGGCAGATATATAAATCAGTGTGGTTCTGCCCGCACGCGCGTCAAATTTCAATAAACTTCGTTTGGATTTTCGATTAACTGTTGCCACGGAGGCTTGCCAGCGTCGCTTTCCATATTCAGTTTACTGTTAGTAGAGAGTTTTTGTAGATCGTTCCCATGACTCCGATAACAATACCCGATACTCCGCCACCGCCTCCCTTGCGCATGCATAGTGTCGTTATCGGGGCTATCGGAACGATCTACTAAAACTCTCTAGTATCTTCTTTGGAATCCTCAGATTGCACCCACCCTCCGTGAAATTGTAATGCGTGTTCAAGTTTTAAACTGCATTACTATGCATACTTTTTTTTTCAGCGGTGTAATAGCTTGTTTTTACAGAGTTGTACAATAAAGTGATGTATGATGCAGTCCGTGTCTCAGAGCAAACATACCTTGCTTAGGCTGGATAAATTCTTCAAAATATGTTGACCTTCTTTGAAACATAAATTATCTTTCTCTTCGTTGTTTTTGCTATCTTGTCTCAGAGCACACAAGGGTGCCTGTCTCGATGGCTCCGTTTGCCACTCGAACCCGCTATCTGCCGTCTCAGCGAGCATTGTTTCGTTTGGTTCCCTAATCCGATTCGGATGTGACGATACCGGATACAGTCTGGCAGACAAGCTGCCCGACCTCTTGGAGCTCGGGAAAACTTCTGCTGGTAAATTGCCGGTACACGCCTGAGAAGCGCAACCCAAAAAGCTTGCACCCGCCAGCCTTTGACCACGCGAACGCCCTTGCCGAAGATATAGGAAAACTTTTTCAGGGAAAATGACCATCCGAATTGGCCATTACAAGCAATAACACACGACTAGCACAATGATCCATCCGCTCCACACGACGACATCTTAACGACATACAGCGACAGAAGAGAAATGAAGTACCGAATCTGCGCTAGCACTTTTGAAACCACGTTACCATGTGACCACGTAGCTACGTCAACAGTCTCGGGGTGGCACGCAGCCATAAGGAAAATTGTTTCATGTGCTATGCAAGAGATGGTGCCGCTTCGCTTCATCTTCAACCTTCATCCTCAACTGTTTTTCCTTCTTTCTATACCTCACTACAGTGTTCAAATGACAACGGGTTCAAATGAGAAAGGGTCGAAACGCGAAAGGTTAAAACGCGAAGGGTGTTTTGCGAATGGGTTCAGACGAGAAGGGTTCAAATGAGAATGGGTTCAAATGAGACGGGTATAAATAAGAAAGGTTCGAAACGCGAAAGGTTAAAACGAGAAGGGCGTTTTGCGAATGGGTTCAAACGAGAAGGGTTCAAATAAGAATGGGTTGTTTCGAGATACACCCGTCATGACGATGACACGAAAGATGGCCATTCCGAAATCTCTGATTGTGCTCTCTTAGTCTGTCATTAAAACACCTGCGTGGCTGGCCAACATATTTCTTTCCACATAACAGTGGAGTCTGATACACTACACCTTTCGCGCAAGCGACGAAGGGACTCCTGTGCTTCTTTAAGCTGCCTGCCGGTACTTTGTGAAACGGGTCTGTCAATTTGCACACCTTGGCGAGCTTTTCAGGTGCAGATAAAAGAACTTTTGTGTTTAGAAGTTTTGCTATCTTTTTTAGGTTGTGCGCTGTTCTGGGCATGTATGGCACAACTGCCACCTTTTGTCTCTCCTTTTGGAGTGCATCTGAGCGTGTACTAACGGGTGTATCTCGAAACAACCCATTCTTATTTGAACCCTTCTCGTTTGAACCCATTCGCAAAACGCCCTTCTCGTTTTAACCTTTCGCGTTTCGACCCTTTCTTATTTATACCCGTCTCATTTGAACCCATTCTCATTTGAACCCTTCTCGTCTGAACTCATTCGCAAAACGCCCTTCGCGTTTTAACCTTTCGCGTTTCGGCCCTTTCTCATTTCAACCCGTTGTCATTTCAACACCGCAGTGAGGTATAGAAAGAAGGAAAAACAGTTGAAGGATGAAGATGAAGCGAAGCGGCACCATCTCTTGCATAGCACATGAAACAATTTTCCTTATGCCTGCGTGCCACCCCGAGCCTGTTGACGTAGCTACGTGGTCACATGGTGACGTTGTTTCAAAAGTGCTAGCGCAGATTCGGTACTTCATTTCTCTTCTGTCGCTGTATGTCGTTAAGATGTCGTCGTGTGGAGCAAATGGATCATTGTGCTAGTCGTGTGTTATTGCTTGTAATGGCCAATTCGGGTGGTTATTTTCCCAGAAAAAAGGTTTTCCCATACCTTCGGCAGGGGCATTCGCGTGGTCAAAGGCTGACGGGTGCAAGCTTTTCGGGTTGCGCTTCTCAGGCGTGTACCTCCAATTTACCAGCAGTTTTCCCGAGCTCCAAGAGGTCGGGCAGCTTGTCTGCCAGACTGTATCCGGTATCGTCACATACGAATCGGGATAGGGAACCAAACGAAACAATGCTCGCTGAGGCGGCAAATAGCGGGTTCGAGTGGCAAACGAAGCCATCGAGACAGGCACCCTTTCCTGCTCCGAGACAAGATAGGAAAAACAACGAAGAGAAAGATAATTTATGTTTCAAAGAAAGTCAACATTTTTGGAAGAATTTATCCAGCCTGAGCAAGGTATGTTTGCTCTGAGACACGGGCTGCATCACACATCACTTTATTCTACAACTCTGTAATAACAAGTTATTACACCGCTGAAAAAAAAGTATGCATAGTGATGCAGTTTGAAACTTGAACATGCATTACAATTTCAAGGAGGGTGGGTGCAATGAGAAGATTGAGGATTCCAAAAAAGGTACTAGAGAGTTTTAGTAGATCGTTCTGATACCCCCGATAACGATACTATGCATGCGCAAGGGAGGCGGTGGCGGAGTATCAGGTATCGTTATCGGAGTCATGGTAAAGATCTACTAAAACTCTCTACTAACAGTAAACAGAATATGGAAAGCGAAGCTGGCAAGCCTCCGTGGCAACAGTTAATCGAAAATCCAAACGAAGTTTATTGAAATTTGACGCGCGTGCGGGCAGAACCACACTGATTTATACATCTGCCCTTTCATTGATTTTATATTTTAATATTCTGTCAGCTGTACAGACTGTGGTAATGCCAATATTTTTAAAAGTTTTGTGAAGCTGCTTCTGTTTACACACATCTCAAAGAGTCGTAATTTATGTTGTTGGCGTATGCAGCGTGCTCATGGTACCATAGAATGATCGAAGAAGTTAACAGAGGTCACTAGCGACCAAGTCAAATAAAAACGCCAGTTCATTGTGCTTTGCATTCGGCTGGAGAGGGTCACGTGATGCGCCGCTGGCGCGTTTTTGGCTGCCGGTGCTACAGGCAAGGGCTCGAAGGCAATTAATTACCCGAATTCGCCATAAATACCGCAGAAAGATTGCGAGATCATGATGTTGGATTAATTTGGGTTCGAAATGAGAGAGGTTAAAATTAGAAAAGTATTTCTGACAATGGTCAAAACCAGAAAGTATGTTTTGAGAAAATTTGAGATGAGAAAGGTTAAAATGAGAAAACTCGTTTTGAGAAGGGTCAAAACCCGAAAGTTTGTTTTGAGAACGGTTTAAATGAGAAAGGGAGAAACGCGAAAGTTGTTTTGCGCTGGGTTGAAATGAGAAGGTAAAAACGAGAAGGTAGAAATGCGAACGGGTTCAAATGAGAACCACCCGTACTAACACCCCTTCGCAGTTTCTTAAGGACACCTTCTGCTACAGATACAAGCACAGCCTTTGGAAAACCGGCACACAGCAAGCGCTCATACTGCTCAGTTAAACTCGAGTGCATGGCATGGTAGCAAGACCTTAAGGTGCTCATGAAACACAAATTGACTATTCCTTTTTAACCAGCTTTGAGTGGGATGAGTCATATGGTAACAAGGGCCTATCGGCCGTAGATGGTGGGCCCAACACACATGCTGCTCAGAGAAGGCGAGTTTAATGTCGAGAAACTGTATACCAGTACTGTATTCGACGGTAGAAAGTCTTCTGACCATTTTATGGCGAGGTCTTTAATCCCCTTCAGCTTATGCATGAAGTTCCCGTAAAAAGTGTTCTACAGTTTCCAGACATTAAACTACCCTCTTTGAGCAGCGTGTGTGTCGGGCCTACCACCCTAGAGCCAATAATAAGGGTACTGTGTAGCCACAGTTTTGCAGTTTGCCATGCCAACATTCACTCACCACAAGGACACCTTCTTTGACAGGTCCGTTGTCATTTTTCTTAAAAAGGACTTGCATCTCAGACTCATAGAAGTGAGTGCAGTCTTCGGTAGAAGAATCCATTATTCGTTCGACAAAGGAAGTCCAACGGCTTGGTACCTATTCGTGCAGTTTTATTGAGATGGCCAAGTTAGTTTGCGACAAAAAAGAACTGCACCATGCATCCCAAACAAAATGAAGACTCAGAAAGTGGCCCTTATCTGCCACAAATACATAAAGCAGAGGAGCTTTACTCACATCAGCAAGAGAGCCATCATTAGAGGCCTCCACAAGGACCTCAAAAAGTGTGACGAGTTCAGCTCCTGTGATTGGTCTTCCTGAAGAAGGTATAATTACAAAGACATTAGGGTGGTTTCATCTTAACCAAGGCAGGGTTCTGGGGTAAAATTTTTAATTATAATGGAGCAAATATTTAAATACATGAAAACACAAATAATAAGAATATCATCCATGTTTTCGCATCGTCCACCTTGCACCTGCTGCATGAGTGCAAACTTTAGTGCAACCCCCACTTCCCACATGCTTCAAGTCGTCCTAAAATTGACAGATTTAAGGGTTTTCAATGACACTCAGCAAGTTTCTAATTGGAACCTTATGTTCATTATTCCTAATTAGAACATAATTTTTAGATAAATATTTTGCAAATTAATATATTTTTTTTTGCAATCCCCGACACTCGTTGTGGCTGGCAGTTTGTTCCTGGAAAGTTTATTTTCTTCTAAACCACCCTCATTTTAGCAATTTTCGAGTCTTGACAAAAACACTGGGTATGTGAAAGTTTTTCAGCCCGCAATTCTACATAAGGAACAAGTTGAAGCAATTGAAAAAAATTTGAAATGAAAAGATGGTGTCCCTCACTGGTATAATACTGCACTTATTCACAGGTTCTATAAGCACCACTCTTTCATTCAAACTTTTCAGAAACTTTCTGTAATAATGTAGAGAGTTAAGCTACCTGGCACTAAGAAGACATATCCAAAACAGCACACAAGCACAGGAGGAAGAAAATAGAACACAGGAAAAAGTGCTGACTCCCAACTTATGACTCCCAACTTACTCAATGCCCTGGAAAAGAGCCTGTAAGGTATTGTGAATAAATAAATTATGTATTCGGACAAAACAATATTAGGACGATATTGAAATTGGCAAACTAGAGAAATTTTAGAAGGCTACAACATCCGAAAATCAGGCCAGCGGGGCCGGCCTGTACTTTATGCAAATGTTTTTTTTTTGTTTTTTTTTTCTTACTGTTTTTTTCTTTTTTTTTTTCTTTTTTGTTGTGACCTCATAATGTCTTCGTTTTCTCCTTTTCTACCGCAACTTAGTAATGTATCCGTTTTTTCTTCTTCTTTTTACCTTGTGGGTACACGTAGGCTTCATGTCTGAAGCTTCTTTCTCTTCCTTTGACAATACATAAGCTGGAAGTAAGCACTCTTAGCTGTGTTCTAGTTTCTTCCTCCTGTGCTTGTGCGCTGTTTTAGGTAACCCTTCCTGTAACGTCTCCAGCGTTGGGTAAAGTACATCTAAAAAGTCCTTGACATAAAGTACAAAGTAAATGAAAGGTCATGTACTTTAAGTAGAAAAAGTAAAGTAGTAAAATAAAAAAGTATGCCAAGCACAATGTACTTCAAGTAAAGTACTATAAATACAATAACCTTTCAAAGAGTTTGTGCGTGTTCTTTCATTTAACAGTACTTATTGTATTTTGCCATTGCATTTATGTTCGTGAGTATGTGTTTTATTTTGTGTTTCCCTGCTATAATGCTTCGGCGCTGCAGGTTGTTTCTGTAAATAAAATAAATAAGTACTTTTTGACACAGCCTTTCCTAATAAAGAGAGCATGACAACAGCCCAGTAGCTTCCACAAGCAATGCTCAAGTGAAGGATAACCTCACTGCTTCCGCTGACCAAGCGAGTAGTAGTAAGAGTTTGAAATGCAACGGGAGAGTCGTCCCCCGCAGAAAAAGAGCAAAACGTCTCCTCGCGTTTTGGTGAGAGTAGAATATTCCTCCCAGAATTTCTTCAGAGTTGACAAAGCATAATTTTGTGATATAAATTTAACAAGACCACATTTGGGGAACATACTTTGAAGTCGGGAGTTATACTTTTCTCTGAAAAGTACCAGAAGAAATACTTTAAGTACTTTTTCGGCAAAAAATACTTTTTCTGCAAAAATGCCGCAAAATACCAAGCAAGCACCCACTCAAAATTCAAAAATAAGTGCAAAAAAAGGGGGATGGGCGCTTGTCCGGTCATCATTTTTACATATAAATGTACTGTGCGTATTTTCCCAGATTTTACAAATTTGGGAATGGGCACTTAGTGTAGAATGGGTGGATGCACTGTACTCTACGGTAGTACTTTTAGTGTAACATACTTAAAGTATTTCCCAACAATTGATCTTTTGTGCATGGCACCATACTTGAATGAAAAGTGATGACTAACATTTTCACACTTTATCATCTCTGGTAGGGTTACACTTTTGGACAGAGTTTCAGAGTTTTGCACTGCAAAAAGTCTTGTACATTCTTTTTAGAAAAAAAATAAATAAATAGCAATAGAAACACAGTGATACCATTCTATGTCTTTGGCACTAAGGTTGCAAGGAGCTTTTTAGAAAGAGCATCTCTCTCCTCAATGTACTCTTCTGTGAGGTCTTCTTCCCTGGCCAGCATACAGAAAAAAACTGTAGTGAAAAAGTACCCTATGTATAAATTAAACTTATTAACAAATACTTATGGGTAGCTTGCCAGGTTTTGTAGCGAGATATTTGTGAATACAAAGATTTACTGCATACTAATGTTATTGTTTTGTCAACTTTTGTGAACAAGATGATGTAAAGCTTACTTTTTCTTTCCTGCCTTCAATGTAAGCGAAAAAATTAAAGGGCCATGAAATGACTTTTCTATTTCTTCGTTCTTAGCTTTCCTCCTCAACTCACAAATTTCACAGTGTTAACAAAGGTACAGGGCCGAGTTTACTGCACGCAACTATCCTCCATTACCCATAAGCTCACAGTGCTGTGGAAGCTTTGTGCTCGTTAGGCCAGTCACACTTCTATCTTTTTGCCACATGATCACGCTTCCTCACGTATACCCACGTGCACAAAATGGGGTCAGGTGATGAGAGGGAGGCAGCTGATTGATCCGGCAAGCGTGTAGCTCCCACTGCACTGTCAGCTCAAGGGTGAACGTAGTATAGTCAGATAGCACAGGGATGCAGTGCTTGTGTCCAATGCGTGAGCTGGGGCCGGCTGACGTGATTTCAGTACTTGGGCACTGCAGATGTATCGCACTGAAAAGGCAGAGAGCTTTCAAAGAAAAAATAGTCCGCTTTGTTTTAAGAAATTTGTATTGAAAAGCAGGCTTTTGCCTTTCTACCTTCTTTCTTTTGCCCATTAAACAATATGCTATTAGTAAAATCCCAATCTAAATTAATTTATTCCAGCCGAAAATTCGCTTCATGGCCCCTTTAACGTCAGCACTATGTTAGACAGGTGAGCTCAGGAAGGCACTTCAAAGTAATTGCTTAACGACGAAGGGCATGAATAGACCAATCTTAAATAACCTCCCCTCCCCCTCTCCTCAACTTTGTAAGCAGTTAAGGCTCGTTCACACTCTTGCAACCGAGTAAGACCGAGAGAGACGGAACCGGTTTTTAATCCTCTTGCGACATCTTAGGATCAAGTGCACTGCTGCGGAGCTGGTCCCAAGACGTCGTAAGAGGATTAAAAACCGGTCTTGTCACTCTCGGTCGTACTCGGCTGCAAGAGTGTGAAAGAGCCTTTATTAAAAAGTATGACAGAAATCAGTGTCATTATGCTCTTACCTCGGATAAATCAGTCAGAAGAAGGCGCTTGACGGCAGGCAAAAAGAGAGTGTGACACTCCAGCGATTTAAAAATATCTGGAGGACAAAGGAAACAAACTTTGTACCACAGACACCTATTAGGCACGACATGAACACACACTAACATAGTTACGTCTTATATCTTTCTTTCAACTAGGTACATTTTGCCATCAACAGCACAGGGGTGGATCCAAGGGGGGGCGACGGGGGCAGCCGCCCCCCCCCCAAAAACTAAGTCGCCCCCCCCCCCCCCGTTCCTCCTTCTCGGAGGGCAATTTTAAGTGGGTAGACCCCCGACCCTGACCCCGACTTCGACCCCCGACCCCCAACCCGACCTCCCTCCCTCCAAATAAAACAGATTACCGGCCTGCCAGGTGGTAGAAGGCTCGGTACTTAAGGATGGGGGTTCAAAATAGGGTAGGTCGCAACCTAGCAGGCACACTTGTACTCTGAACTTGGAGAACCACTCAGTCGAATGGGAGAATAGTATTCTTGCAAGTTTTTTCGTCCACCCCAAAACGGAGTTCTGGATCCGCCCCTGCAACAGCATAAAAAAAAAGCTCGAGGTACACCTAAGCATTTCTTACGAGTTCTGAATGCGAAAGCATGCAAGCCACTCGTCCGCTCCCTTTGTCTTCTGCTGTGTACTAGCGCGCGCGCGCTTCGGTATCTTGGAGGCCATGACGCAGCGGCCAACGGGAGTCCCGTCGACGCGCGCCAGCTAATGGAACCGAAGGCACGCGGAAACTACCTGCCGTTTCCGCGCTTCCAACTGATGACGTCAGCTCGCTCCATGAAACAGTTAAAGCATTCACATTAATAGCCTGCTGGGAAATCAAGATTAAGAAAATGGCCAACCTACAAGGGCAAGCATGAGAACTTTATGGAGGTGGCATAAGAAGTTTATGAAGATGATGAAGAAGGCATCTGCACATAAAAAGTATGCGTCCTTCTCTCACCAAGAAGGCTGATCTTGTAGTCTTCGCTCTCTCTGCTGTGAGTTTCCATGAGCCGGTGCAACCACTGGGTAGGTGTCTCATTGTCAAGAGTTGTCTGCACAAAGTCCTGCACCACCTGCACTTCCAGACGGGAAAGGGAACAGTCTATAACTTAACACCACCGCCTTTAACATTTTGCGAGAGCTCTGAACAGCACCCCGATCTCAAGCAGCGAAATAAGGAAGGTGTCTTAGTTGCACACGTGCCCTTGATTCCTTTGTGCATCGTTGCAAAAGGCACGAGGCATTCATTTTTGACTCACAAGTGCCTCACTTTGGACATTGCTTATTACAAACCGAGCTATGAGATTGCCTTTCATGCTTCACATAGCCCCTAATGAGTTGTTGGGCACAACTTGAGAAATGAATGCAAAGAGTTAGCAAAATGCCTGTACGTGTCACTTTCCTTGCGGAGAGTTTAACAGTAGAACCCGATGCTAAAGAAAACAGATGCAAACCCACGCAATTAACAGGGTGACGACCAGTTCCCTTCGCCTACTACAAGTAGACCTGGGTTTCTTGTCTCCCCGGGTCTCTAGCAAATTTCTAGAACTGAGGCCAGATTCACGAAACGATCTTACGCCAAAAATGTGCGTAAGACAAAACGTAAGAACAAATTCGTATTCACGAAAAAAAATTATCGTAAGTTTTGCGCAGGTTACGACAAAATCCTACGACAGCTCTGGAGCTGTCTTATGCACTTTTTACGATCAAATCTGCATGGCTGACAGCGTCGCTCAGTCACTTGGTCGCGACGACCAATAAATGTTTACTTTTCTACGTGCTCCTCTCGCGCGTCCCGACTTCAAGCAGCAAGAAAAAAGTAAAGAGTACTTGAAACAGACCACGACGAAACGAATAAGAATGCTGGACCCCCAAACACCCGCAAAAAGCTCCAACAGCCACGATTCCACAGACCCCGACCAAGCGAGCTCGGCAGTATAGGCCTAGCAGGAACTCCGACTCGGCACAACATTGCTCTGACGGTCCTTGGCCAAGACCGTATGCCCACGACCGGCTGGCGTGCTGAATGGAATATGCCCGTGCGACCCTTGTGGACCCTTCCAGTATTATAGTTTGATCGCTGACCTCAATTTTAGATTAAGAGGTTAATCTCCTCCCCGGACCCCTTGTTATCTTGTTTTCCGAGGCAGCAGTGGCGAACGCTGTCGTCGAAAAGGGACTCTCATTGATTTTATCTCCTTGTTTTATGTGATATAGAGCTCAAATAATTGCCGTATGGATTACCTTCGCAACACGGTATGTACACTTCGTTATTAGTATGCCGTTTTTATTCTGACACAACTGCACGTCACTGTCGAGCTATAACAGTTTGTGGGAGCAACTCAATGTTGGTCCAACCTCTCTTTGCCGAGCGTCACGGCACTATAGAGTTGCAATCGCAAAAGATTGGTTCCGAAGCGCTTACCGATTCGCGGTCCAACACCACGAATCTAGCACCTCAATCAAAAGCGCGCGTCCGCTTCGAGTGTAAAGAGGTATTTACGTGGCTCTTGGTGACATTCTCCTATTTCGAACGTATATATTTTTAACGTCGGATCGCTCCTGCATCTTCGAGGCTCCGAGAAACGTTGCGGCGATTTGTTTCCATCTATGTCACTTTGCAAACGACTGGCACGGGCCGTCTTTTACCAACGATGACAGTTGTGTTGACTTCGTAGCGATTGAGTTCGTAGGAGTCAACGGAAGCGGTTATGCATCCCGGCCTTGGCATTCGGGCGCGTTTAAATTGTGCTAGCGTCGACATATCCGTGCACGGACACGGACCCCAGACAATCAGTGGTGGAAAGGCCGTCTGTGTTTGTTGTTAAAAATCCAAGTGCTCCAAACCATGCCGAGCTCTTCGATTGGTTGTTTGTGCTTTCAAAGACGCCATCGCTATAGCAATAGCACCGGTAAGTTCTAGTTTTTCCGTACAAGAACGTCGCTTTTCTCCTCTGACTTAAAAGCGTGTTTGTGAACACCGATTTCTCCTCTTCTTACGATGTTCTTAACTTGCAAAGGAAACTTCTTAGCTAAGTTGTTGTAAAATAAGAAGCTGTTCGTGAATCTGGCTTCTGGTGATTGCATTTTGGGGGGTTTCTTTTGGGTTTTATTACTTTGTGCATTGCTCCTTCATTACACTTCTTGCCATTATCTTCAAGTAGAAAGTGTTTTCTTAACAGGGTATTCGGGCAGCCTCCGGCCGCCATGACAGGAGGTGAGAAATACTTCCAGGTTATCTTGTTCTCGCTTGTTTCTGGGTGGGCGCGCGATGACTCTTGGATCACTAGCGAGCAACTGGGTGAGAGCTACGCTCTAGAAATGCACCAGTGTTGTGCTCTTGGGAGCTCGATGCGCAATGGTACAATCAAAGTGTCCCAAGTGAAGTTCTTTTGATTTCCTCAAGATGGAGGATGCCACCGAGCTTGGATTCATCTCCTGTCAACATTCCCGCAGAAGCTTGCCATGTTCCCAAAAGTAAGGGTGCCACCGAGTTTTATTTAATTATTTACAAAAACCCACGGTGCTGAAGCATTATAGCAGGTACAGCCCAATACATTAATAAAAGATAAATTTCTTTGTGAAATAGGGGGTTTAACACGAAATAGTGAGGCTCGATTAGGAGACTATGGAAGATACCTATGAAAGGTGGGGAAAGGACGAGAAAACACTTCTATTTTTCTTTTGGAAGGCTAATAACTTTTAGCAAAAAATTAATTTTTTAGAAGATGTTCACTTTGTTGGATATGTTCTGCTCGTTTTTGTCTGCTTATCCACTTGTGAATGAAACCAAGTACATCCGAGCTCCTCCAGTGCAAAGAACTAAACGTGACTAATGCACAGATTAAACAGGAAGATTGCTTTCACAAACTTACCCAAAGCAGTGGCGGAAAGCTGAGCAGATCATGGACGAAACCGTCGTTCCATTTGGCACGAGACAATTGTGACCGCAAGGCAAAGAGCTGCAACAGAGAAAAACCAATGATGGACCACTAATAACCGACACCTCCCAGGTATAACAACTGACACAGAGCAAATGACATGTCCACATAACACAACAATGACTCATTCTAACTGCCAATTCAAAAGTTTTAAAAAGAGAATGACATCTACATATGGTTATATGGTAAAGTAACCATTACCTAAACTGAAAATAATCCTCTACATTTATTGTGAAGTTTCATTCATTTGGAGGCTACAGTAATATCCCAAGAGATAGCCCACCTAAAATCGAAGGCAAATCATGTTAAAATAAGGAGTAAGCTAACTTTCAATGTGCAAATAAAAAATGAGAAAAAAAATGCTACCGTAATGTTTCGAAAGAACGCCCACACAAATTAAAGAGATAAATAGTTAAAAAACATGGGGTGGGCTATCTTTGGGGATGCCACAGCAAAACTTTATCGAAAATTAATTATAAACACACCGGCACGGGCTACAACTACCCAACGCGGGAACCGATACCGCAAATTCGTGTTTCACGATGCAATAAACACGCAGGAATTCGCTACAAAATCCTGCGTCACGGGAAAGGATACCGCAGGTTGTGGACACAGCAGATTCGAGCTTCACGGTGCGAAGGCCCCGCGGAAACCAGTCAAGAACTCGCATCTCACAGGAACAAATACCGCAAATCGTGGACGGAGCAGATTCAAGTTTAATGGTGCAATAAACACGCGGGAACCCGCTACGAACTGGCCCGTCACGGGAACCGATACCGTGCGCGCAGATCGCGGACAAAAATGCGGGAATCTGCTACAAACCCTTATGTTAAGGGAAAAAGTAACACAGATTGCGAACGCAGCAAAATCGTATTTCATGATGCAATATACAGGCGGGAATCCGCTACAAACTTTATGTCACGGGAACGGATACCAGATTGCAGACGCAGCAGATTCGCATTTCACGGTGGAACATACACATGGGAACAACTCGCGTGTTAAGAGAGCCGATATCGCGTGCGCAGATCGCAGACAAAAACGTGGGAACCTGCTATGAACTCGCTTGTTAGACGTGCCGGTACAGCAAACTGCGCAGTTGATGAGATTCTCGTCAAACATCGCGCGACGTCCAACAAGAATCAAGGGGTAGGCGATGTTTGGGAATTCTTATTTTTACAGATATTTAGCCAGAAAAACAGGATGGGCGATCTCCCAGGGCCGGGTGTTCTCTCAGAACTTCACTGTAGTTTTGAATTTTGTGACCTATGGAACTAGTGACTGACCTTCCCAGTCAACAATGCTCGCTTATCTCCCGTCGTGGCTAAGTAACACTATTTTTGCCGAGGTCAGAATTGGCCAGGGCCCTGGAATTACTGAAAGTTGACTATCTTACGGTGTTTTTAAAACAATATCAAATTGTGCCAAACATAGGGGTGGGTTATCTTTCGGGGGTGGAGCATGTTTCTTGATGGCAGATTCGTTTTAGGAAATCTAATCACATAAAAAGGAGGTATCCTGCCTGTGTGCGTCTGGCCAACAGCTCCAGGTAGTCAATGTCAGCTTGGTCGATTATCTTGACTGAGTTGTAGATCAGGTGCGAGCTGATAAGGGTTGCAACAGCAAAAATCTTGGCATCATAGTTTTCAGAGACATTGTTTGCGGCAAAGCCTGCAACAAAATTCATTAGGCTTAACTTTGGCTCTATGAGATGCAAGATATAAAACCACTTGCCTTCAGTGTCCAAGAAGATTAGAGATAAATTCTGCCCTGAGGGTAGCCTGACCTTCAGTGGCTGAAAACGAGGTAAGGTTGTACATAATAAAAAAATACACAGCGCAAAAGGACATAAAGGGAAGAGACACACCGGATAGAACAGAGTGCTGACTCGCAACTAGATATTTTAATAGAAAAGGAGGAAGAAAAATATTTTGGTCACCATAAATCGCACGTCTAGCCTGTGCCATGATATGTGGTCGTTATGGCACATGCTGGGCCTTCATAGTCAGTTTCTTTATATTCTTCCTATTTCTTCTTCATGGGTAAGGTTGGCAATTTTCTAGGTCAATAATTCTAAAGATTTCTCCATTATTCAGAAAATTCAGGGTTAATAGCTTCGTATTATACTACTCGCCACAATCATATAGCAACACAGTGTTTGATGAGTAAGGAAGAAAGAAAAGAGAAATAGCAACTTAAAGGGAAGCTCAAAGAAGTCAGGAATGACTCTCTATGGTTTGGCTCCTGAATTCAGTTCCTGCACGAAAATTGGGCAGGACTGAAACTGAAAAGTTTGTATTAGAAAACACTTGCACCGATTGCCACACGGCTTGCAACGAACCTCTCTCCCCCCGTTAACTGTAAAAAGCGTCGACACATAATCGGTGACATCTGATGTAATTTTTACTCTTACAGCTTTTTAAAATTAAAAAAAAAATGTGGTGCCTAGTGTTACGTCCGACGTAACCCAAAAACAAAAGTTAAAGTTACGTCTGACGCAACCTACAATACAATTTAAGGTTACGTCCCACGTACTAGGAAACTGGGTCTTGTGTCCCGCTTTGTCAGATTATTCAAACAAAACTGAAATGAAGTTACGATGTTGTAATCATAAAATCACGTAGTTCCATGCCCCTCAGCCGGGGCCTTAGTTGACGTCGTGGCAGAGGGGGCTGGACAAAGTCGTTGCATTCAGTTGGTTTCAACATGCAAAAGAGGTGACATTATATTTTTTCTTTTTGCAGTTCTTAGAAGGTTACATACTCAAACTTTCTGTAACGATTTGGTAACTGGTTGCTGCATGCGATACCAATACCACGGTCAAAGAGCGGAGAACCCCCAGTGCGTTTGTGTCACGGCTACACGCTAAATCAAGTTGCCACTGAAGAGTGGTGAAGGCATGGACCCTCACGTTAGAGATTTCACGAATTTTTTTCAAAATTTCAGGACAGTCAGAACATGATTTTAAGTACTAAACTAGAATTGCGCCAGGCACAACATAAAATATTTAAGTGGAGTTATTTCGGATGTAGCTTTAATTTTTATTTTACATTATGTCGGATATAACTTTAATTTTTTTTTTTTAGGGTTATGTCGGATGCAATTAAAAAAAATTTATGTACAGCGACGTTGGGTTCTCTCGGACGTAACTCTAGACACTGCGATTAAAAAAACTGTTCAGCTTTCGTTTAGTTGAACCCGAGGGGTACATTGCTGCCAGTAAAAATGTGATTACGACCTGTATTGCTACAAGATATGTCGAGTATATCGCTGAGAAAATTGTTTATTGTTTACAAAAACACAAAGAGCAAGGCAGCGTAAAAAAGGTATGTAAAAAAAAACACCAGGAAGCAAGCGAACCACGAAAGACAAACGTTCGTGGACCCTACCTCTTCAGTGGCGGGCTGGCAGACGTGCTCGCGTACGGGTTCTAACCTTTCTGCACAGCCTTGCACGCCACCCAGAATCACATTATAGTAAGCACATAAATATTATCACACTCTATTGAGTAAAGCTATACGCACTCCAGAGTGCACTTCGGACGGAAATGGCTATATGCACTCCGCTAAACTCGTATAAAACAAATGGTCACAACGAGTTTTCTGAGCGATAGCATAGCATAGAAAACTATTCAGAGGAAACAAACGATACAGTATGAGACCGCGTCAACAGTTATACAATCTGTACGAAAAAAATATATAAATAAATCGAACAATATAGACGTGCAATTATAAGGGGGAATAGCCACGGTCCACTTTTGCGCACCACGCACCTCAGCCAACGCCAACGCGCCTACAGTTCACAGGAACTCGCCAGTTTCCCACGCTTGACGTACGTCGTTGCACGCATCGGCAACGCCCTTCCTCGAGTTCTCGCTTGATGCACTCCCAATCACCCGCATTCACCTGCCACGACGTCACCGAGAGCACCCACCCCAACGTGGACACGAAGTAGCTCCAGGTTGGAAGCGCGTCGAGGTGGCATTGCACCATTGAGGTACGCGACTGCCAGATGGCGTGCAGGCCTAGCAACATCATCACGTGCACCACCTCCGTCTTATCCCTCTCCTCGAGTTGCAGATACTTGAAAGCGCTCCACTCTACTTCGAAGGAGTCCCAGAGCTTAAACGTCGTCCTCATCTCGTCCCAGGAGAGGTAGGCGTCACTACACTCGACTAGGACGTGCTGGATGGTCTCGGGCGCCCCGCAAAGGTTGCAGTTTAGGGACTATGGCATGAAGAACCCCTTGTGATGGAGCCAGGTTTTAACTGGAAGGACCTCCATGTGCATCCGGACGAAGAAGTCCCTTGTCGCCACAGGGACGGGAGGATTCGCACGAGTTTGTAAAGTTGCGCCGCGTCGTCGGGCGTCAATGGTTGTCTGTAGAGCGGTGGCAAGAAGGATGCGGAAACGGCATCCCAGTACAGCCGCCTCTTTCTGACGGTCACCAGGTACTCCCAGGAAAATTGGGCCTGCAGAAACTCGATGGAGCTGGCAATTTCCTTGTAGAACCGCAGGGCGGCTTTCTTGGTCGTACGGCCACTCGTGCTCACCCTCTAATTCCCGAGATGTGAGAATCCAAGGTGGTGCAGCACGGCGACGAAGGTCGGGTCCCTCGCATCCCGGAAGAGCAGAAAACACTGCACGTGCAACTTGAGCACAATGTTAACGAGGCCCAGACCGCCGCTCTCTTGGTGCAGAAAGAGGTTGCTCCTTCATGTGCTTTCCATGGCAGTCTTCCACACGAACATGGCCCAGCTCCGGTGTACCTTTCCGTCCTGGCTGCCCGGGCAGCAGATGGCCTGAGCCTTGTACAGCACGGCGGGGTAGCTGACTGTGTTGCACATGTGAGCTCGGCTGAAGAAAGACAAGTTTCTGCACCGCCAGGGCGACAGCTCGGCGGCAACGGAGTTGGCGGTCGGTCTCCACACTGCGGCCGTTGATCGCTGCGGGTCCAGAGGCACACCCAGGTAGCTGTCGAGCGAAGTGCTCGATCCTATACCTCCGAAAGTTCTTGGCATAGTCTCCCATGCACCGAGCCACGCCCCCGCCGACTTGCTGATCATGGCCCCTGAGGCAGCGCAGAACCGGTCCACGTGTTGCAGGATGGTCTGCACCTGCACCTTGGACGAGCAGATAGACGAGTCGTCGTCTGCGAAGGCCAGCACGCGGACGTCTTTGTCCCCAAGCCGTAAACCTGGGATGGATGGGTCCGCATTGACTGCCCGGCAGAGTGGCTCCAACTGCAGCGCGAAGAGGATGGGCGAGAGGGGGCAGCCCTGCTGAACCGACCTCCCAATGGAGATGGGACCTCCCCTCTGACTGTTGATGAGAAGGCGCGTGGAGATGTCTCGGTAGCAGAGCGCGATCCACCCCTGCAGCTCCTCCCCCACGCCGAATCGATCCAGCGCCGCCAGGAGGAACCTGTGGGACACCCGGTCGAAGGCCTGCTGCAGGTCCAGCTGCAGGACCGCCAGGGACTGGTGACCCTCCGCCGTCGCCTCGCCGATCGCCTGCATGATGTGGAGGTTCCTGGATATTTTCCTCCCGCGAAGGCTGTAGGTCTGATGGGGCTCTATGATGGACTTGAGCCCTGTGTCAAGTCGCCTTGCGAGGATCTTGGCCAGGATTTTATAATCAGAGCAAAGAAGACTGATGGGCCGAAAGTCCCCGACCTCGGAAATAGGGCCCTTTTTAGATTTCTTCGGGAAAAGCACCGTGAAGCTTTGTCGCATGGTCGGAGGAAGTAGCTTTCGTCTCCGGAATTTTTCAATTTGGTCTTGTATAATGTTTGCGGAACCTACTGCAAGGATGCCTGCAAATAACATGTAAATAAACTTGTTTCGTTTGCCAAAAAAAAAAAAAAAAGAGATGGCATAGCATAGGGGTTAAAGTTTCCGCTTTATACGCAAGTGGATGCAGGTTCGATCCACCGGTGGGCCTGTTTTTTTTTTTTTTTTCTCGAACATTTTGTTTTGTCGAGGCATTTGGCAATATTTACGACATTTCTTTTTTGCGATGAACACTAAAAAAAACCAAATGTTGTCGACGGATTAAGTACGAAACGAGCGTGTTCGTAACAGTAATTCCTCATGTTTCATTATTGTCGACGAAACTTCACAGAACTAAATGGTATGGGACTCCCTTTTCGTAGGTGCGATCGGGAACAGCGGGGCTTGGGTTTCCGACTGGACGCCGCGAAGCGGCGTGTACTGGTTAAGTTTTGTAATTAGCAGCCGCATACTGCAGCCGCGAAGCGGCGTGAACGCAGGCGAGGGGCTGTGTTAACGAGCTCCCCAGTGATACACGCGTCGTTCGGAAAGGGTGGCCAAAGCGGTATGAGCTCTCCGCGGAGTGCGTATAGCCATTTCCGTCCGAAGTGCACTCCGGAGTGCGTATAGCTTTACTCATCATGAGTACCTGTCCCCACATCCAGATGCCCATCGTTTCAGGTCGGACCGTGGGGCCTATTCCGAATCCCTTGGTCTTCCCCATCAGTTGGTTCATGAGGAAAGACTTGCCGGAGTGGAACTTCCCGACGACGGCTATGGTCGCCACAAGCCCCTCGATTTTAGACACGACCTGCGAGGAAGACCCCACACGAAGCATGAATCGGATTGTGGAAGACCCGCCATAGAGCAATAAAACGCGCCACATCGTGACTTTCTTCTTTTTCTTTGTTAGCTTGCCACACTCAGACGTTTTCAACTCTTCACAAAGAGCCTCAATGCGGTGATCTTCCTTCGTGGAAGACACTCTCGGCAGAGACTCTTCAAATTTGCGCAGAGATTTGTCATCATCGGCGGTCGAACACGGAATGTATGAAGCCGAAGCCTCGAAATGTAAGTTAAGTTCCTTACCTTTATATTTTCCTTCACCAACACAAGCCTTTTGTGGTTTAGGTCTGGTTTAACTAGTTGCAGAGGCTCGTCCGCAAATTGTCTGAAATCTGAAAATGCAGGAATTTTAAAGCGGGTCGAATGCGACTGCCGACTGCATCCTACGCCAAATGTCTGGTTCGAGTGAATAAACGCAGCACGCGAACTCATCTCAGCAGGCTTACTTGCTTTTCCGAAGGAAACCAAGCAGGAAATAAGTATGAATAAGATAGGTACAGGGATATTCTGAAATATTTTTGAACCAGCCGCGGTCGCCATGCTTCGAAGCGCGGAAGCAGCAAAGAGATGTTAATTTTGAAATATCCGGTGAGACAAAATCATGTACTCCAGCTCCACCTCAGAAACGGTCATTTGATTTTTCGCCGCTTGCTAGTCTTAAGCGCTGTCATCAGTAGCGATTTTTAGTGATAACTTTCCAACGAGGTACCTCGTTGTAACTTTCAGACTTTTGCATATTTTTAACCTTGTAGGACGGAAATAAAGTTGGCGAAAATCTGGTTTGACATCCTTCTCTTTTCTTTTCTTTTTATTTTACTACAAAATGAACAACAAACGGAGTAGGGCGACGAATATTGCAAGGACGTTTCTAAGCTGTTGTCGGTACTGAAACTTTTTGGATGCTTTTCAATAAGCCCGTCAAATAGCTTGCGTCCAAGCGATACTTCAACGGAATTTGAAATATACCGGTTGTGTTCAAAAATAGGTTGAATATGATCCACAATACCCGTAAATGACAATCGCACGTTTGTATTTTAAGCCTGGTGGCTGTATTTTTTGTTATAAGCGGCCCACTCTAGCGATTGCCCGGAGAAGGCCCAGCTTAGAGCACGTGACATCCGACGCAATCGTGACGTAGGTCGTCTCGGGACGAGCAAAGCTACGGCGAAGCTACCGTCGAGGGGATGGCCTAGTCGTTCCAGCCACCGAAGCGGCTGCTTTTGTACGAATTTTGAGTGACGGGTTAATCTTCTATAATCTTGTGGGGCGGCAATAGCTACTTTTGGAACACTCAAAAGGGATTCTCGGGAAGACGGGAGTTTTTCCTTCCCCTCTTCTCTCGTCGTGGCCGGAGGCGAGACACTCACCGTCACTAGCTGTCAAGGTTCCTAGATGGGCATTACAAGCGAGGCGTTAGCGACATCCACCAGGTCTCTAAGCTAATTGTTTAATTCGTTTTAAAGCTCCTTTTCGTGACTTTTTGTAACAAGATGTTTGATGTGATACTGCTCCTTTGAACACATATAGGCCATAAAATAAGCGCCGAATTTTAGGGAAACGAAATTTCAGCGCTCATTTTCTAGCTTGAATGTGTTGCATGTTGCACCCTAATCTCAAAAACACCAGTCTTCCGTTGAAAGGCACAAGAAAACTAATTTTGAAGCTAAATAAACGATCTTTCAAAGTGCGCCTGGTGGATGCATGCGGAGCCTATTTGGGAGGTAATGTAGCAACGTTGGGGAACTTGCTACGTAGTCGTGACGTAGCAGTACAGTGTACTATAATATATATTAGGGGTGTCGCGAACTTTTGTCGACCAGACTTTTAGGTCGAACTTTCGGGGTTCGACTGGGTCGAACCGGTTCGACGAACCTTCGAACTTTTCCCCAGATTCGACCGGTTCGACTTTGTGGACACTGTGACCAGACCTTGATACAAGCATGTCTAGGTTTGGAGAATTTTTTTTTATGCAAAGGGTTATTTTATTTTATGAACAGTTGAAAATAAAAGAAACCAATTCTAATCACTGAAGAAGTTAATAACTTAATCTTCTTGTACTGCATTAACTGAAATAACCAATCAGCGCTGCCCTTAATTCTCCCCTTAGCCATCACCATCCAATCCAAAGCCAACTGGCCAGCCTGTCGCGCATGCGCACAGGAGTCGAACCTCAATACAAGGTTCGTCGAATTTTCCTCTAAAGGTTCGAAAAAGTCGAACCTGGTCGAACTCGAACCTGGTCGAACTCGAACCTTGGCCGGTTCGCGACACCCCTAATATATATATATATATATATATATATATATATATATATATATATATATATATATATATATATATATATATATATATATATATATTTTTTTTTTTTTTTATAGTATTACAGTGGCCACTGTACTAGTATCAACTTGGGTAGTGTTGGGACCGGAGGGGCTTGCCTGAAGCGCGTGGTATTGATCGCGACAGGTGTCGACACCGGCGCGTTATCCAGAAGGTGTGCGCATGCGCGGCTGCACGCGCGAAAATATGAATCTGGTGCCGCTTTGGTAAAGTGCACATAGGATTTCTGATACAGCTACATCCTGCCAGCGGTCGTACCGCGGCATCAATTACGCTGCATCACGATCGTTAGCAAAATTATGCTTGAATGTATTGGACGGTACAAGCTACATTACCCTTCCTTTACATAAAAACAATTGAGACTTTAAAGAAGCGGACTGCAAGTTACATGTACGACGAAACCGTCCGATCCGACGTCCGACCGCGCAATACGACGGTCGGAGGCGAGGGTTTTCAACGCTCTCCGATGCCACGAAAACCCTCTCCCCCCAAGGTCATCCGGCAGTCCGCACGTCGGATCGGAAGGTTTCGTCGTACATGTGTTTCGCGCTTTAGAATTAGCTGCGACTTTCTGCTTGTCGAATGGTGAGCATTTTAAATGAAATGCCTATTTCCTTGAGTCGCAAAGGCCGAACATTTGATATTTGAAAAGGATATCTAAAACTCAAAAGCAGTTTTTTTTTTCCCTATCTTATTTTATAATGGAACGAACGGCACATACTAAAGTCCGAGATTGTTTTAGTATGTTTTTAATACCCCAGGTTAACTTCTCCGTCTTCTTTCCAGCCCGTCTCCTTTTCTTGACCTTAATCATCTCGCTTCACTTGTCACTCATTCTTGAGTTCATTTATGGGACGAACCGCCCAAGCGACGGTCGCAAAGGGTGAGAATATTTTATTTCTTCATGGCTGCCACGACCATCCGAGGACCACCCGACGTTCACTTGTAAGAAATGGCTTATAAGTCGTGACAATTTTTATCACGCGTTTTAACATTGAACTTAAGTCCAAAAACTGAGACAACGTGGGCTGAACAAGTAATGCTTTATAAGAATCAAAGAAAACAAGCAACTATTTCACATCATTTTGAGCAGAAAGCATGAACACACGTAGATCAGGCATGGAAAAAGTTGTAATAGCTTACAGCACGGCATTGAAATACATGATAATAATGTGGGTTGCACACATGGTTACAATGCGCAGCGCATTCATGGCCCTGAAGGTATACTTGGCATACCACATCAGGTAAGTTGTCGAAACAAATGAACACCGCCCTTTCGATGCTGCTCTTGTTTGACTTCGGCTCAAGAGCAGTCTCCAAATAAGCCACACCGTCGAAGTTGCTAAACTTAATGTGAACAGCCCAGTAAGGAATTGGCACATTTAGAGAGCCTAGTGCGTCGCGATCGATGCCTTGTGGGATCACGGCAGGAGCTTCGCTGTTTACCACTGGTGACAACGGGTCAGTTTCCCAAACGAGCCCCGAACGCTTTGCAACGATGGGCTCTGGTGAACTTGCCATCCGCTTCCTTTCCTCTCGTCCTCCGGAAAGGTCATCACTCAGGTCCTGGGGTACACTTGGCAGCAGAGTGGGTACCGCGTCTGGCGTAAGCGCTGGGTGTCCACGAGGGATCCCCACTTCCTTTCCGCCGATGATATGGACGAAGTCTGGAAGGAAGCGGGCTCGAAGTGCAGCTCGCATGCAGACAGCGCTTGTTTCTTCAAGACGCTTGTCCGATCGCTGGAGATTCTCCTCACAAAGATCTCTTTTGGCTCTGTCCTTTGGAACGCCGAAAAGGGACGCCGTTTTCACTCTTTTCACTCGGATGAGGCCCGTTTTGAAACCATGGTGCAGAGCAAGAGTTCTGTCGCTGTTTCGCCGACGGCATTTCGGCACTACCCTCAAGTGGGTTTCACATGCAGCGACTTTGGCCCTGGAGCGGCGCGATTTCTGCCGTCGCGGCGCTCGTGCCGCTCAACCGCTGGTGCTGGCCAGAATTTCGCGACGGCAGAAATCGCGCCGTTCTAGGGCCAAAACCGCTGCATGTGAAACACGCTTTACGCGTTCACCATCCGCAAAATCAGAACACAAGATTCAAAGCATATTACGATCGAACACACGGAACTAGGAAATCGTGGTCCCGACACGCGCACCGCTCGAAGTGAAAAACACGCGGAACTATACTGTTTCACCTTGTGTCGTACCGCAGGAAAGCCTACAAGCGCGAGCTCCTTGCTCTAGGACACATTTCGGCGGCACAAGCTCTCGTGCATCAAGGGCAGCTGCCAACGCTATGAGCTCGTGCTTCTAGCCTTCGCTGCGGTACAACATAAGGTGAAACGGAGTGTATAAAATCGTGGTACCGACACGTGCACTGCTCAAAGTGAGAAAAAAAAAAGGCGGGCTGCGCGATTTTTTTTTCGGATAACTCCACTACAGCGCCGCCACGAACTATCGCCGAGCCGCTCCGGTCCTAACACTACCTAAGTATTTTAGTACACTGTAGTAAGTAACAGATTCCTTCGGAGCAGCGCCACTCTTTGGCATTTCAACATTTTCCTTCTCAGCTTTCCTCCTCAACTCACAAATCGCGCATTGTACCAAACGGTCCAAGAAGACAGAAAGGAAGGACTCCCCTCTTTCTGGGACTCTCGTTCGTGCAACCGGACACAGCCATTCTCCCCTTAGAAGATTATCTCGTCGCTCCAAATTTGAACAAAAGTTGCTATCCCCACCCCGTTCAGCCCTAGGCTGATAGTGTTGTGGAAGCTACGTGCCCTTTGGGCTAGGGTGCCTTCATGTGCGAGCACATGAAGGCTCCCTCTAGGGCCAGTCACACGCTCGTCACCCCACGGGTAGCTCGAGCTGCTCGGTTCTAACGCGTTGACCAAAACGCTGCCAACGCCACCAACGGCAAAGCTCATAACCACGCCAGCCTTGCTGCGTCACGAATGCGGGGAATCTTTTCGTTCTGTTTTTGTTTGCGCCGGATATCCCATGACGCATCGCGCTCTCCGTTCGCTTCTCTTCGAGCGCTTGCTCGAGTGCACCATATGGAACGAAAAATATAGCCAGTCGTTCAAAAGACAAACGCGCGATTATCATTTACGGTTATTATCCGTCATGCTTGACTCATTTCCGAACGAAATTTGAATATTTAAATTTTCGTTTCCGTACCCCTTTAAAGACCCCATGCTCATCCAGATCGAAACGGGCAGGGGTGGGGATCGAACCCAGGATCCCTGGATT